ACAGGATTAAGAATATTCCTGGCTCTAGTTAACAGCAAAATGATATTTTCTTCTTTCGAAATTCGCGATATGAAAAAAAACTATTATAGTTGCAATCAAAATTCTATCCGGAACGACTGCAGCCTCATTGTAGGCGTTTCGCTATTTCAGACAATCATTTGTCTCTATAGGGTAGTTTTCATAAACCAAAAAAAAAAAATCTCGTGAAATTGCTGAAGCAACAGATTATTAATAAAATTTTATTTTTCTATATTTTTCTACAATAGTATTTCTATACTATTTTCTATTTAAGGTTAACCAGAGCTCCAGAAAAGCAACTAGACAATTTGCTCATGAGCTCAACAAACCCAGAAAACGTATACAAATATACTTTACATTCTCAGTGCTACAAAGCTTTTAAAAGCACTCACGCCAGGAGATAATGAAAGGAGCCTGGGGTTTTATAACTAATTTGTTCAAAAAATAGATGAAAATGTTCATTTCACGGACAAATGCAGCTTCTCAACTGGGGAATTGTTCAATAGAAACCATGCACATTATAGGTCTATGGATAATCCAATAATGGCAGGTATGGAGTGGTATGTAGAGGAACAGAATTATTGGAACCACAACGGGACCTTAACTTTCGAACGATATCTAAATTTGATTCGGAATGATGTCTTAGACGCTCTAGACAATCTACCTTTGGCGGTATTGCAATAATGATGGTGGCAGCAAGACGGACCTCCTGCCCGCAATGGAAGGGAAGTAACTCACTTCCTTAACAATGTATTTTCTAATAAATAGATGGGAAACAACGGTTTTGTGACCCGATAAGATCCCAGATCTCAAACCCCTTGATTATTTCTTTTGGAGATATCTTAAGAACCGTTTATTTAAAAATACACCTCTTTACTTTCAAGTGCTACAACAAAATTCAATAAGGGAACAATTCATTGATCCGTTTGCACAAATTGTTTACGTAAACTGATTTGTTGTCTACATTTTTTGTATCTTATGTTTAACTTCATGAAAGTTTATGTTAATAAAGTTGTTCAGGTTTTGGGTAATGTTTTCATATTAATTCCTTATCTGGGTTTTCTATATTTTTGATTTTTTTAATTTTTTTAGTGATGGGCATTTATTTCTATCAATATTTATCACTAAGTAATTTTTTGCAGCGGATTCAAAAAAGGGAAGTCCATTGTTTCTCACACAAAAGTAATTTCCGCTGTTAGATATCAATGAGTTGCAATAAAAACACCACGAAAATGTAATAAGTTTATTCTTTTTTTATCTTCTTACCCAAAAATATAGTTAGGGACTGTATTATGATTAAATAAATATAAAATATTCTGGTGATGGAATTTTCTGTACGAAACGTCGGGAAATATCAAAGTAACGACATAAAGTATTTTAAGAGTGATGAAAGGAAAAATCAGGTGCGTATTACAAGTTGATGATGGTCGCCAGAAGCTTAAACGTCAGATTCAATTATTTAATCATACTGACTTATAGAGCAGAACAAGTGGCCATTAAAATGTGTTTTTCATTTTAAGTTATCTTATCAGGAGATAATCAAAATAAAACTGAAAATTTCGATTTTTATTTTAGAATATTTTCGCAAGTATTCGAAATTTTGCAAAATGCAAAACCGCATTTTATTGGGCATCAAATTGCGCAACTTTGCCTCCATTTTACCAACCCTGTATCTCTCCCGATTTCCGAAATCCCAATGATGACCGTCGAATTTGAGAAACCCAGTACACGCACAAGAAAAACTACTTTTAAATCGTAACCTTCCCTTGGGACCCGTCAATTTGACACCCAAGACGTCCGGTTAAATGCGCTGCCATATATCGACGAGACGTCAAGCCTTTGGGGGAGGGCGTCGAAGTAACTAAATACAACTACTACTGCCGTAACTGTTACACTCGTATTCATCGTCATAGAAAAAAAAATATTGGTCTTTTCATAGACATTCGCCAGCGCATCGCTGGCAGGCGAAGGCGGTGGCGCACGTTCAGTGATTCAATTTTGTTTACATTTTTTATAGTTGTGTTGAAATATATGGGTCTTGATGTTCCTCTTTTCGTTATGGTCATAATACCCTAATGCATCGAAAAATTTCTAATTAAAATCAGTTCTAGGACGAACCAGTCATTTTAAAAAAATTTCCATTTTGTTTCAATTTTTGTGCAATTATTGCAGTTCCTTATACTCGAGACGATAAAGGAGTATTGTTCCAAATTATGAAAAAATCATCATTGAAGATAAGCAAACAGATGCATCAACAATTAAGGAAAAGAACGTCAAATAATTTTAAATATGGAAATAGTATATAATACTTGGGTATTATTTCACAAATCTCAAAAGCATACTTTGAATACTCTTATAAATTGTACATAAATCCAAATCAAATTGAAATTTATGATTTTATTTTAGCGCACTAGTGTTCAATTAAAACGTTTTTGGGATAAAATAAAATGAAAACGCAAACAATTAGCTGAGGGACCACGTTCGAAAATGCTTACAAGAGGTGGCGAATCCATGCCTGATAAAATTTTAATTCCTGGTGTTGATGAAATTGTTCCGCACTTAACGGAACATGTGGAAAATTCTTTTGATTCAGATGGCAAATTTGAATCAGCGGAAAAAGATTAGACACCTCTAGGTAAAACTAAATTGATTATGTGCAACTATTTTTATTCAAAATTATTTTAAAAAATCGAATTTAGATTACATATATTTTTAGATATATCCGGACCATCACATACAATAACAAAAGACCAGTCATCATTACCAGAAGATAATAATGCACCAGCCACATCCTTCACCATCCAGACAAAATCCGTTAGCCTAGCTTCGCGTCAAATAGAAGTTTCATCGACACCTTTAAGCAGCGATTCTATTTCTCATAACAGGGTATATTCAGATGAGAAAAAAATATTAAACGAGCAAAAAGAAAAAGTTGTTGTTGCTAAATCCAGTGGCGACTTGAATGATCTTTTTAAGGAGAGGATTGTTAATGCCAAATTAGAAAGGAAGCATTTAATAGACATCCATGAAATAAACAAACAAGAAGCTATTGAAATAAGAGAAGAGGCGACAATTAGAAGACAAATAGCGGAAGTGGAGTTATCAATAAAAAGGGAGGAATTACGTCAACTTTTATTAAAAAAGGATTAATCATAGAGTATTCTAAATTATATTAAGTAATGCCTAACTGTTAATGTGCCATATATTTAAGTAATAAAGTTAGATCATAGTTATTTGTATAATAGGTTTGATTATAATTATATATGTATAATAGCATAATACAATAACAGTATTTCATTCTGTGAAGTTACGCGCTATCAATGCACCACGAACTCCATAACCTTGAGCATTTCCCTTACTTGTAAGTTTTCTGGTATATTTGCATCTCTTTCTTCCACCAAAACTTCTTCTAGGTTCTCTCCAAAATCAATTCCTATATTGTATAAAACCGCACAAGCTACTACTATCACGCAAGTAGTTTCTAATTTAGTTCCTCCTAATCCTTTTACCAAACAAGGGAAACATATTTTCCACACTCCAATTTCTTTCTACAACATTTCTTTTTCTGATTTGGCTCGAATTATATAAAATTTCAGAGTCTTTGTCCGGGTGCAATAGTGGAATCATAAGATATGGCAAACAACACCTAACAAATATCCATGTAAATCCCTGATTTAAATCTGGCTTTTAATGAACTATTATTAAAAATCATGCTGTCATGTTCCCTTCCGGGTCACCTTGCAGCAATGTCCATAACTTTCATAGATGGTCCAGCAACAACTTCAACATTTATACTGAATGTACATTTTCGATATCGGTATAATTCTGCAACCAAACCACCAGGATTTTTTATTGGTATGTGCATACAGTCTATGCGGCCAACTACCTCAGGAAAGTGCGCAATCTCGTAAAATTCTTCATATATTTATGCTGTTCTTCTGCATGTGTTGTGCTCAACTTAATAGGATTACGACTTTGAGCAGCAAATATTGTTGAAATTTGTTTTACTATTCTACTCACAGTTGACTGTGAGATTCCTTCGAGATCCCCCACAAGTAAGCTGCAAAAATGAAATACCAATACACAAAAAATTACATTTATTTAAATGTATTTATTGTACGGAAATAAAAACAGAAAGAAAAAGTTAAAACTGAAACTTTTTTTAATTACGAAAAGATGAAATATTATATTTCAAAACTTGTTAATATTTATAATAAATATTAGTAAATACTTTACCTCAACACTTCCAGATGCTTAAAATCGTAATGTGCATAACACTGCTGTTAAAGGCGAAACTGGTAAACCACGCTGGTTAACTTTTAATAGTTCTGGTTCCACTAATCTTATTAAATGTTCCATAACTACGTTTTTGCTGAATCTGTGTCGACGTTTAAATTCGAAATCATTGTAAAATTGAACTGGGTTTGGCATATCTCTGATACATCTTTTAGGCATTCTTAAATTCATAGTCGTACAATATTATAAAGGTTTTCCGTAACAGTTATAGCAAGTCTATGCTCTTAAATTCAACTGACAAGTCGCCCGGAGAATGACGGGGCAAGCTCCAGTCGCCCGGCGAAAGAAAATAGGTTCTGCCTAAACAGCGCATGTGTTCTTTACTCGAAATGCAACTATGAAAGGAACATGGTTCTATATTCTTGAACCCCAATCACAAGACTGCATTTAAAAAGCTTAACGTGATCCATTTTGAAGGTTTGAGAATAGCGCTGGGATGTATGAGGTCAACCCCAACGAATGTTTTGCTGGCAGAAGCATCGGAACTGGACCTGGATACAAGGAGGAGATAACTGGCAGTGTCCTTTCTGGCTGGAGTCCTAGCCATTGCGGACCACCCTTTAACAGACCTCATAGAGAATCTCCGAAATTACTGTGGTAGGTACGGAAATCATTTAGATAGAGATGATGATAGAATAGCGTGTGCCCCCTACCTGGCCCGGGCATTTAATATGTATTTGCCTTACCGTAACAGACATTACTCGAGTGCGACTTGCCCGTGCTTTAACGTAGACTTTTTTAACTCTATTGCCCCGATCGAACCACTGAAACTAAATATAAATAGAGAAAATGCGGAAGCCCAAACACATTGTCTGGTTTTTACTGATGCCTCTAAACAGGGTGAGAGGGTTGGATTTGGTATTTACATACCAAAAATTAATTATAAATTTTCGGCAAAACTTCACACATTGCCACAGCAGAGACGATAGCAATAAAGGAGGGACTAAGAGTTTCAAATTTCAAATGGAAATTCTGACGCTAAAATGCATTACATAACGCTACAGATCCGAGAGATGATGATGAGGGCTAAAAGTATGGGCGTAGATGTTAGGATGGCCTGGATACTGGGGCACTCGGGTATTGAAGGTAATGAAAAAGTGGATACTCTGGCTAAAATAGGAAAAGACCTAACCATCCCATTGAATATCAAACTGGACATACATGACTTGAAGAATACAATTCTTAGAGATATTACTAATGTTTTTCGAGAACGGGAAAAACCCAATACAAGACAAAGGTAAAAGATATAGAAAGTTAATATAACGTAATTTTCCTAAAAGAAGATGGTTTTCTGAGCTTGCCTACATAGACAGACGCCATATAACTACTATAATTAGAATAAGAACTGGACATTGCGCGGTGGGGGAACACCTGGTCCGGATAGGGGTTAGGGACTTTCCTTTCTGCGAGTGCGGCGGGGTTGAGAATCATATATTTTTCGAGTGCCCTATAACGAAGGTCCCGGGTGTGCATTTATACGTAAACTTTAGAAATTTCAGACTTAACTTACCACTTTGTGTTGAAAATATGTTAAGCGAGTACGGAGATCATACAAATGGTCATATGCTTATTAGATTATAATAGGATAAAAATTTAAGTTAGGAGTGGAGGTCGGACAGCCTCGCCCTAGTAACAATACTAGGGAATTTTAAATTGTATGTATTTGATTCTGTTGTTTTGTCTCAGATCTGACGAGCCTGGTCCCATGGTCCATCCTAGGCCAGGAACGCCCGTCCCAAGTTCCATAGTGCTGGAATTTGTTTGTCGTTTTTTGTTTTTTTTTGACCCAATCTCCTTAGCAGCTTTAGATGTGTCTTAAATAGAAACAGAAGTCTGAAAAGTAAACTTCCCCAGGCGAACATTCTCGATTATCTGTGGCAGTTCAGGCAAATTGCCTAGTAGCAGCGCCAACCCCAAAAGAAGAAGAAGAAGAACTATGAAAGGAAAAAAATAAACTAATCCAGTCGCCCGACGGCGAGAGCTTGAGAACCTCAAAAGACCGTTCTGGGCAGGCGTCATTCGGAGGACGCTCAACTATGAAATAAGAATGAACATTTTCAGGAAATCTGCAATCAGCAAGCGGCTGACGTTCGAGTATGAATACGAATGTTAGTAAAACGTACCTCCGACGACTAATAGTTTGTCAGCGATCAATGCTATGCCGAATTGCAGTCTTTTGCCGCTCATTTCGTATGCGATCGTCCACCTATCGGACCTGGGATCGTAACTCTCGATGGTGGTGGCGCCTTTGCTACTGTCCATACCTCCGACGATCATCAATCGACCGATGGTCGCCTTCCTGGGTCTCGTTCTGGCGCAGGTCATCTGCACTCGCCTCTCGGGCAGCAAGTGCCACTTCATGGCTTCCATTATTAATTTTTGACATATCGGATCGTTACCGATGGCCGGTTCGACTTGATCGCAAAGAAAAGCAGCGCTAAGGAATGGCAACTTGACGAGCGCCAGCAGCTGCCCCATGTACCTGTCCCTCTTGATAGGATCATGTTGGACCCAACACATGAGCGCGTTAAACACCTGCTCCTCAGAACTGACATTCAGATCTTCCATGCTCAGCAGAGAGCAGATATGGTCTATGTTCAACTGCAAGAACTCCTGGTTCATGATGACCTGCATGAAGTGCTGACTCGTGAAGGAGTTGGCTTCGTGCATGAGACTGGTGCAGGATTGGTGTTCTGCGAAAATGGCGATCCCCAAACAATTGCTCGGGTGTAACTGGTGGGCCAGAAACCTGGAACAGGCCTCGACGACTTCGTGCAGCAGCATCAGCGAAGCTGTCGACAATAAAACTTCGACGTTGTCCTCCCTTGAAGACAAAATTTGAATGACATGTTATTCATCAACTCTATCATAATTTCATACAGAAATATACCTGATTTCGATCGTTCCAGTGTAACAGTAGTTAACGATAGCTTGTAGAAGATCGCCATTGATATCCACGAGCGTTATCTCGTTCTGTGCGTTGTTGCTTAGACTTCCAGTAAACATGGCCGAGAAATATTCACTGGCTGCTGACAGGACCAGTCTTAAAAAATAAAATTCCCGAATTGGAAATCCAAAGAGAATAAAGTGAAGTAAAGCTACAACGTATTTTTAGTACAGGTCATAATTTAATAATAAGGTGTACGGGAAAAAAATCCCGTCATTGCATAAATAATAATTTTGAGAAAAATTGACTATAAGGTTTACCAATTACAATGAAGAGACTAACATTGTTTCAAAAACAAAATCAAACAAAATAATTTAAAAACTTTTATTTAAATTGATAGGTACAATAAAATATATTCGTCTTAAAGCAACCAGTCCGATATTTACAGAAAACCCCAAATAAAACGACTACCAACTATATTCCTCTTCTGAACTCCCAGCGTCAATAGGTGGGTCAAGCTGCAGGAAAGTCACTGGAGGTTACACTTTGATAAAACATCTTTGCTTCTGGGTTTTCAGTGTAGCAATTCTAAAGCTAACATGTTTTTTCTTGGCCCTTTTTCTTTGTAATCTTTTAATTGGAGAAGAATACTAGGTCCCAGGTCACAAAGTATATTGGTTTGTGGTAGATTAATTGCCTATTTGCCATGGAGATTTTAATCATTTGGATCGGTGTAGTGGGAAATGGGCATTTTGCTGGTTAATTGACGATAAATACTCTAAGTCCGTTTCTGGAAACTAAAGTCTTTATGGCAGTCGATGGCCTCAAAATGAAATAGTTTCACATGCGCACTTCTCAGAACCTCCATCCAATCGTCAGGAGTTTCAGTATATGACTTTTGCTTCACAATACTCATATCGTAGGAGTGTCCGCGAATAAGAAAAATGTTACTTTTCGAGACAAAATATTAGACACAAAATGGTTGAAAATGAAGTATACGTCTTCTAAAGAACATGTATATTAAAACTGATAAAGTTCAAATAATGTTTGTAATAAACATTGTCGCTGGTAATGTTCAAATGAGGCAGTTTTTTTTGAAAATCCATGGTAACTGCTTCAACGGTTGACGACTTGAGGGATTTCTTGCAAAGGGTTCTCTTTACATCTTTCGTTCGAATGCGCTGCCTTTTCTCTTTCTTTGTATTGAAGGTTCTTAGCAGAGGTCTACAATATTTCGGGGTCAGTGCTTGATTGCATTTATTCTGTGAAGACGAAAATTTCGACCTCACAAGGACTGCAAGTATTCAAAACTTTTTATTGAAAAAATCACAGAAAAACTCATGACACTTTATTCTGTGTGTGATGTACAATATATGAAGTTTGGCAACTTTCAAATCTGCCACCAGAATCCTCAAACAAATAGTGGGATTTTCTTCCTTGCAGTGACTTGCAAAATATATCCCCTTTTCTTTTCTTCTAATAATTTGTTTTGCCACCTGTAGGTGCTTTTCTAATAGAAACAAGGAAGTCTCTAATATATCTCACTTTATCGTCTGAGATACTATGAATAGACCTGAATGCTTTTAAACACACTTTTACATCACTGACTACACCATCCTTAGGCACCAAAACTCAATAAGCAAATGAGGCAATGTTGAATCAGGTAACACCGCTATGGACCTCCTAAATAGTGATTTTCTTTATTATTGTTCCATAGGACAACAAATTGTCCAATTATGTTCTTGTGTTCATCCTTGTAACTTGAAAACATCCCAATTTCTTGCAAAAACAATCTGGACCAAGCTCGTGGCTTTCTGCTTTATTACATCGATCATGCAACCTGATTCTTTTCTCTTTCTGGTAGTTTGAATTATTTTCCACATCATTGAAATCCATTGAACACTCGTAATCACTGTTTATTATTTATTATTTACTTTAAAATAACAAAATATTCTTGCATGCATAAGTTCAGTATTTTTGTTAGTCGAATAATCAAATAATTTTTTAATGTGTTTATAATCACTGTATTTAAAAAGCAGTAGGAAGTACTTACTTATGAGCTTCCACGCGTCTCCCATTGGTTCCGGCAATAAGAGTTACATCACAAAGTTTACCGGCTTGAAGGTACTTTTTCATGCAAGATAGACTGACTTCCGCGTGACCCTCACACCGGAAATGCTCATCCTGGGTGGAACCGGAAGAGAACAAAGAGAGCCGGCTGAAGTCCCGGGGTATATTGGAATCGCTCCCGGACATGCTGTAGCTCTCCGATGTCTCGGAATCCTTGCAAGGACTACTAATGCTCCCGGACAAAGACATAGCCTTTACGACCAGTCAAGTCAGTGTTATCAAAAATTTATAGACAGGATGCAACTTATTTCCACCTAATAATGGTCACAAAAGATCATTATTGAATAATCAATATGTTTTATACAAAAATTGGCGTCTAAAAGAAATGAATAAACTTCTACGGGAACAAAAGCACGTAATAAAATCTGTCAAACTGATTCAAAACATCAAAACATGACACCAGAGACATTTTTTAGTTGTTACCGATTACAGAACTCTAATAAGACTACTTTTGGTTTGGCCCAACGGCCAAAATCTATAGATATGGCACTTACGACCAGTCAGTTTTATCAAAAACTTATTGTTAAAATACAACTTATTTCAAAGTAATGTTAGTCACTCTGGATCATTATGGAATAACCACAATTAAATTACTGGGGGAACAAAAAAAAACGTAATAAAAGTTGATTACAACACCAGAGATATTTTTTAATTATTACCGATTACAGAATCTAATAAGAAACCTCTTCTTCACTTGATCCAACTGCCAATGTGATTGAAAGAAGAATTAACCAAATTTATTGAAATCCAATTTTTCTATCGCGAATAATGTTTGAAGACATGTAGAATTGTGGGATCGAAAATCTATAAAAATATGGATACGGCCGAAGAATCTTCTTGTTGGTTATTGCTTCTTTCCGATTGTGTTATGTTAAAAATATTGTCCTACTTGGATGCGACTAGTTTGTTTCTGCTCAATAAGTAATAAGTTTACAAAATAAATCTGCGTTTTTCTAATTTAGGCGATTATTTGAGGACTTGCACTTATTTCGAAAACATAGTCAAAGACAAACAGCTTTGGAAATATGTCGATACGACCCACGAGCCAAATACTGATGAAAAGGTTCAATATTGTTGCGACAGACTTCACAAAGACACCACCCATTTATTCCTCAAAGCCCATTCTAGACAAACGGGTGTCGTGATACCGAGGTTCTTCAAGCAGTTGCCTTATTTAAAGAACCTCACAGTCTTGTCTTTGGAAAATCAACAGATCAATGGAAAATTTGTAATTCGAGCAAGTGTTCCTGTTTAGCATTACTCCCACAAATTTTGTAGGTTTCCATGAACACTTTCCCTTCACAACTGGAGGAGTTAAGTTTGAGAGGGACAAACGTTAAATGCAGTAAATTGTTTTTCCAATATTCCAGCGACTCTAAACAGAATTTAAAGGTAAAATTTTACAGAGTGGGTTCTCAGTATGCTACCATATTTTACAGGTTCTCATTTTGGACGGATGCAACTGGATTCACAGCAGTTTTATTATGTCGGTGTCCAAGTACCCAAAGTTGGAGATTATCTCAGTTGTAAAGTGCAATAAACTTCACCACAACATACTTCCTTATCTCCCGGTGACCCGGTACGGTTGCAAAAATTTAAAAGTGATGGACTGCAGATTCAGCAGTAAGTGACTACAGTCTGGTTATTTGCATACAATCTAGTTAACACAGAATACATAATAGTTTTATTTTAGCTGACCCTAGGCACTTTTAGGCAATATTTTTGTTGGAGGAAATCTTATTTCATCTATGAAAATCTGCAAGTTAAAAATATTTTTGGTTATACAGGGTGAGTCAAATAATAGTTATTAAATTTTATATATTTTTGAATGGGACACTCTCTATATATTATCTCATCATCATAGATTTGTTAAACTGGTAGGGCTAGAACATGGTATGTTCTACCTGCAACATTTAGTTCAGTTAAGTATGATCCTAACTTTAAGCGCCTAGGTTGAGTTTTATGGAGCCTATATTGATTGAAACAAACCTGTTAAATTGCAAAAACAATAATTTCTTGTGAGAAGCTTTTTCTTTGACACATCTAACAAAACTTTTAAAAAATATATAAAATTTAACAATAACTATTTTTGAGCTACCCTGTATAACTAAAAATATGCTTAACCCGTTGATCTTTAGTAATGTTGTAACTTTGTTTAAACTATGTACGTCTCCTTGAAGCATATAGTCAACACTACTGGGGCATTGAATTTTGATAGACGGTTGCGGATTTCAGCTGTGGCCAACGATTTCTTGAGAGTATTCAGTCAGAACGGGTCGGTACTGGGAATGTACTTTCACAGCATGAGGACCCACGAGTTGGATTACGGGGCGCCATTTTTAAAGAAATTGGACAAACTGCGCAAACTGTCCGTCGAGGACAAGCTGGTGATTGTGAGGAACATCATAGAGAACGGGGTCCTGGCCGATTTGAGGTTCAACGCGAGCGACCTGGTAGAGGAATTCCCCGAGAGTGTGCTATACAAGGACCCGTATCCCGAATGCACGTGCAAATATCAAGAACGGGGTGAGGTTTTATCAATATGTTTTGGGCCATGTCTGAAGTAATATTCAAAACGCCTGACTTACGCTAGTTTTTTATGCAACATGATAAGTCAAATGTTCAAGAAATATTTAAAATTTCCATATGTTCACGAGACGCCACTGATATACTTTTTTTTATCATATTTGACAATGTAAAAGAATGTTTGTTACGTTTTTTTTTGCGATAAGCGATTTGTAGTTGGAAGAAAGCATGGAAACTTTTTATAATGAAGTAAGCTGGAGCTTTTTTTAATTTCCATACATTAACGAGATGCCACTGATGTACGTTTTATCACGTTTAACAAATGTGAAGTAATGTTTATTATGTCTTTTGCGATAAGAGATTTGTGGTACCTTTTATAAAACTTCTGGATTCCTCCTGCGTCGGTTTTTGTTGAGTCGAACTAGCTAACGTTTCGTCAATCATCCTGGAGGCTTTTTCAGAGCTTGACAGTGTCAGTGAAGAAATCAACAGAATGATTCGCTGATAGTTTCAGTCAAGCTCTGAAGAAGCCAACAATAGCAACAGCCAGAAGCATTATCTAGTTTGACTCAACAAAAACCGACGCAGGAGGAATCCAGAAGTTTTATAAAAAGTATAATAGTAGCCTGTGGAAGTTTCTTTGAAAAATTAAGAGATTTGTGGTGTGTATTTCATTAACGTTTGAAGTAAGTTGGGGCATTTTTAATTTCCATACATTCACGAGACGCCACTGATGTAACTTTTTACCACGTTTAACAAATGTAAGGGAATGTGATATAACTTTATACCACATTTATCAAATTTAATGTTTGTTATGTTTTTTTGAGATAGTGGTTTGAAATAATTTGTGTTCTCAGTTATTCACTTCACTAATTCTACAGTTCAAATATCAAATATACAGTGCGGTCACCGTTACTTGTAATATGATTTTAGACAAAAAAATGTGGATTTATTTAAAATGGGGAAAAAGGTCAGTAATTGCGAATTCTTTAAATATTTGCAAAGGTGCTGTAACAAAAATATTATAATAATATAAAAGTTGTGGTTAGTTGATAATACCATTTTAAGAATATAGAAACTTGATCACTGAATATCATCCAGACAATTACACAGTTCTTTGAAGTAGCTAGTAGAACAGTAAGAAACCGTTTAATCGACAGAACTTGCTATTAAAAAACCGCTTCTCTCAAAAAATAATGGAAATTGCCATTTGGAATTTGTCAAAGCTTGTCTTGCTGGAGAAAAATGGAATACAGTTCTGAGTGATGAAAGCAAATTTTCCCTGTTTGGAACAGATGGTAAACAAGATATAAGAAGAACGGTTGGCTCAAGAATCAAGGCAAAGTACCCAATTTTCTACTACGAGTGAGGATGTTTTCCTCGATCTGGAATAGGGACGATCTTTCAAATACCATGTAAAATGGACATATTCCAATACAAAGAGAATATGCCAATGCACATTAAACATCTTTGCATCGGCATATTCGAATGCATTCCAGGTGTTTTTAGATACTCGAGACTATGTTAGAAAACACTGATAAAATAGTTTCCGAGAGTTTCCATTCTTTCTTCCAACTTTACTTGAATTTCCTTATATTTTCAAAATTTGCACGAGAGTAATTTTTGGTAAAGTGATCAAATATCGTTTTAAAAACACCATATGGTGTTCCAATTATGGATTCAATTTTAGAATTGCCCGACGCTTCCGGTAAACTGGCGATGGACATCGACGATTTCATCGATTTTCGTAGCGCCGCCCCCGACAAATTTCTGTGCAGGAACCACATGAAAGACGTGCAAAATTTGTCGGCCGAATTCAGGAACTTTTTCTGCCACAACCAACAAATGTTTCACTCAAGTAATACCGCGTCGAGAGAGATAAAGCCGCGCCAAATATGCGTACGGAAATTATAGGTTAGAATGAAAACCTAACGGGAGATTGACGAATCAAAATTGTTTTTATAGCCGTAAAGTCGGCGAATACGATTTGACGCAGAGATTAGTTTTAGTGCTGAACTCATAATTTGAGGTTAGTTGTTAGTTTTGTTTAGTGTTTTTTTCCACAGAGATTGATTTTTGCGTTGAGGTATGTACAATCGTGATAATTAAGGCATATATTCAGTTTAAGCCAAAATAAAATAACATAATTGTATATAATTTTAGTAAATAGTTATCTAAAGATAACCCGATTTTATAAAGTTATAAACGAATAAGAATAATCTTTTTTTATGTGTTTTTAGCCATTGTCCAGGACCTGGATGAGGAAAAGGAAATAGACTAACTGTTTTTGGATACAGTGAAGGAAAAAAAAATGAATTTAAATCTCCATAGAAAGAGAGGAGACCATCTAGAGAAGAATCAGTTTTTATTTGTGATAAAGGTAAACTCGGTGCAGAATCAAGGTAGACACACGTAATGTAGATTTGGAAATCGAGCCACAGACATCTACAACATCTACAAGACGCATTATTTGATGACATTGAAAAACGTTTAAAGTTGATAAACTTTTTTGTCTTTTACATTATCATGTGTAATAAAGTAATACATGATTACCCCAATGTAGACTTGAAAATCAAAAATAGAAATTGCGAAGTTCCTTTCAATTATCTAACCACCAATTATGAAAAAAGCCCGGTAGACACTATGCAATTCTCACATGTATTTTTATTAAATAAACTGCTAGTAAAAATTTTTAATTGGTAATTCCGTGGTAGACGCGATGTGATTTTTCGGACAAAATTTGCTGGACTATTTTGATGGAACGTTTTTAAAGGTTGTTTTTCAAATGTCGATAGCATAAATAATACTTTTTAGTGTTTGGACATACGTTAATTAATACAAATTAAATGGCTACATTTATGCAAAAATGTTTTTACCAAGCATATAACAACTTGTGGGTGTATAAGGAAAATCCATAATTCCAACAGTAAAAAGAATGAAATTGTATTAATTTATGTATTCTTCAAGAGTTCTTTACAATTTCTTTGATTTAAAGTTATGTTAAGTATGTAGGCATATCATAGATATATACATATAAATTAACTTATAGAATGTGGTGCTTGTTAAATTACAAAAGTACTTAGGTTTATACGAAGGTTGCCTTTTATATTTTTACAATCGAACAATAGGTGGCACCACCGAATTTGTCCACAGAGACGTTTGTTATTGAAAAGCCAGTGACAATTATACAATGGATGATGAGTTTTCATTGTTTCCCATCACCTCAAGAGGCTGTTGAGAACCATGTTTCCACGATATCAGCTTCAGAGTGGAAAAAATGTTTCCAGACTTGGTTTGAGCGTATAACCTTAAGAGTGAATATTTCGAAAAGCAATAAAAGACTTTTTTTCGAATTTGTTCGTTTTTTGTAAAAACTTAAAAGTCAACATTCTTAATTTGATTTTGCTCATGTCTACTTGATAAATCTCAACTTGTTTTGATTTTTATCAAAGTTAAGTTGTCGACATGAATTGAAAAACAAATAAGAACAAAACATGGTGTCAGGTTAGTAAACTACGTGCAAGAAATAAAAGTATTAGAAAAATGGAACATCGAGTGCTACAGACTTTTTACCTTATTAAAAGTAAACACTCGAATTTACGGAAACAGAAAATTTTGATGTATTTTAAGGCAACTGGGAAAGAACATCAAAATTAAAACTTGAAAATCGTTATACTAATGACCTGTAGTTGTGACGGCGTGGAAACAAACATGAGACACTATGAAAAAGTTATTGAAAATTTTTGATGATCACTTTTTGCAAAAAGGAGGATATTTTCAAGCATATAGTGACAATAGTCAAAGACTCTAACCCTCTAATATTGTCTAAAGGATTAAAAACACAAATTTTGCCCTTATAAATTCCGACCAGCTCAGGTGCTTTGGGCAGCGGATGCAGAGAGTGGACTTTTTTGTTATTGGCATGTTAACTTTTGCAGCCAAAACCCGAATGAATCAAAATTTTCAAATTCTAGAATTTATAATCCAAAGAATCATTGTTGGTCAAGAGAAAATTTATTGCTAGTACATCACCGAGGTCCACAAGTTCGTTTCAGCTGTAACATTTGGTGTGGTATCCTTGGTTCTCGCATTGTTGGTAAATATTTTTACTGTGGCACACTGATCGGTGAGCGGTACATTGCAATTATTACTGATATTCATAATTGCGCAGAATCTCTGTTTCCAACAAGATGGCGCACCAGCACATAACTCCGAGGCACATATCAATTTTTGACAACCATTTTCAACAATAAATGGATTGCAACAAATGAACCCTTTCCTTGGCCTTGATTCCCACTTGCACTTCCACTTAAAGACTGCAATAAGAGAAAAGATAAACCAGATAGATGGTAGAAAAATAATAAAGACAATTCGCCCTATGGAAAAAATTGTATTTTAGTACGAGATGCTTTTTTTTGAACACCTCTTAAAATAACTTTAATAGTTAATAATAAATTAATTATGTTTTTTAGTTTTTTTCTATTTTTTTTATTTTTTTTATTGCATATGACCTTTTTCGTTCTATTGGTGATTTACGAATGTCAGAGTAAAAAATATAGAAGCTGTTCCATTTAAAAACAGTACATTTCCCTCATTTTTTCCTAACTACTACATTGAATTGTTTTTTTTTACCAGTGGAAAAAAATGCTACTAGTTTACAGACTTTTTGTTATCTCTACTCATAACAAAGTTATCAATGATGAACACTTAATTTGGATCAGCCTGTATAGGCTTAGCATAGGTTGGTTTGGCACTATTGGAAGTTAGACGCATCGAGTTTAGTTTATAAGAACGTGATGCTGTCGACCAATCGAAACTAACAGTGAAAAGCATATTCTTTACACAATATTCAACACAGTAGTTTGCCTTTTTTTGCTCCGTATTACCTGTTCGCTTCGGTCAAACAGGTAAGTTGGTGTTAATAATTGCACTATTTTTGTCAACTAATCCGGACTATTCTCAAAATGAAAGTAATTTTATTATAAATAATGTAGTATAAGGTTGTCTCAAGAGACAAAAAGAAAGACTGTACATACTTACTTCTCGTCGTAGAAGAGGATACAAGGCTAAGATATAATTAATTGACTATAGAGCAGTGTTTTGGATAAGATGATTTTTTAATAAACTGTAATAAATTAGCTTTTGAAAAACTTGGCATAGATAAAAGTAGCAAAGATAAACGCTTTAGACTTAATAAAAGAATAATATATTCTTAAAAGAAAAACATCTGTGATATAGTACAACAGGTGATCAGAATCGGCGGAAGTTGTGTCACTTTCCAAGTCAGAAAATTTCTATACAATTTTAATCTCATTGAATCTAGCGTTTCGGAGTTTGAATCTACTTTCATGAATTTTCGATTCAGTTGAAATATCTAAAATACTTCGCGAAAGCAAAAATGGTGGAGAAAAAAATTTCTGATGTAAACAAAAAATAGTAGTAAATTCATTTATCCTTGTTAATACTCAGCGTGAGGAACATGTGCACTCGCCTTGGACTTTCGCTCACTCCAAATTCTTTAATTCAAATGTCTTGCATCTATGACCAAATTTTTTGAGGCAACCTTGTACTACAATATTTATGATTAAATTGCTTTTACTTTCAGACTAATCCGGATTGGTTGATAAAAGAGTGCAATTATTAACATCAGCTTACCTGTTTTGCAGCAGCTACCAGGTAATAGGGACCAAATTGTGATGTTACGTATTGTGTATAGTACAAAATTTTGACTGGAGTTAGTTTAGTTTGGTCGACACACCGGTAAAATTTAAAAAAATTATATATTTTTTTAATTTTAATTAAAAATAATCTTCAACATTTCCGTTGAGGTTGCCACATCAAGTCGAGTTCAGAAACTAATTTTATTTAATGAAATGTCATTTTCGTCTGGTTGACGCTGTGGTGAAGGTCGATCTTAACTCGGGTCTATTAAGAACGAGGTTATAACGAGCGACCAATAAATACTTTTTATAAAACTTCTGGATTCCTCCTGCGTCGGTTTTTCTTGAGTGGAACTAGCTAACGTTTCGCCAATTATCCTGTTGGCTTATTCAGAGCTTGACTGAAACTGGCTCGCATTTTACTCTGTACCCGCTTTTATATTGTTTGAGGGGGGCGGAGCTAAATAATTGATTAATTAATTGATTACATGCAAGAATTTTACTTTTATCGAATAAAGTTTTATGTCCGGTTTCCATCTAAAACCAAAATTTTGGCACGCTACGTAGATGATACTTTTGTTATTTGGCCTTATGGTAGGAATTCCTAGTAGATTTTCTTAGACATTTAAACTCTATACACCCTAACCATTAAAATAGAAACTAATAACAACCTCCCATTCTTAGATATTCTTATGATTAGAAAATCAGACATAACATTGGGTCATTGTATTTACAGAAAATCCACACAGACCGATATTTTTGTCGGGTTATTGTCTATAACATTTTAAATAACATACGCCGAATATACGTTTTTTAACACCTTTATTTCCGTGACGTTCCACTAGCATGGCTACCATAGAACAGAGTCCCGCGCGAACCATGGAATCTCCCTGGTTGCATCGGTTGCCTGATGGCACAATTTTAATGCATTGTCACATCACCATCCGACCCTAAAATTATCGATTATCAACTTTCTTGTTTACGGAGCCGTAAAACTATCTCAGCCCGAGGCATTGAACCCAGAATTAAAACACCCTACCTCTGCTCTTCCCTCGAATAATTTCCACAATAAAGATATTAAGCGTTCCATCACAAAATACACTTCACCACAACCTTCCAATAGCAATGGAACCCATACTTGCCACTGTTGTCCTTCCTTATATTCAAAACATCACTGACCACATGTCAAAAGTTCTAAAGAAATATAACGTCAAAACCAGATTTACCACTTGTCCAAAAATCTCTCAACATCTTCGATCCGTCAAACAAACAATTTTATTTGAGATGCCAGGAGTTTACAGCAGTCCATGCATATGCGGCAAAGAATACATTGGAGAGACCGGACGAAAAATATCAACTATGCTCAAAGAACATGAAAGAGCATTAAGACTGAGACAAATAAACTCATCAGCAGTTGTCGAACACAATCACGAAACAGGACATAAAATTTTATTCGATAAAAGTAAAATTCTTGCATGTAATCAATTCTTCTACCAGCGAAAAATCCGAGAGTCTTTAGAAATCTATAAGCAACCTAACAATCTTAACCGCGACTCAGGTTACCAATATGGGATTCAGTTATCCGGCACCGTGTTTATGCCCCTCATTTAGCTCAGTCATTAGTTTCACTCAAGCTCTGAAGAAGCCAACAGGATGATTGGCGAAACGTTAGCTAGTTCGACTCAACAAAAACCGACGCAGGAGGAATCCAGAAGTTTTATAAAAAGTATAACCGTAGCCTGTGGATGTTTATTTGAAAAAAAATATCAGCATAAATTCACGATACATTATTGAAAAATACTCAAACTTATTTTAATTATACTTCCGTATTTTCTAAATACGCTGCCGTCGCATAGTTGGCTGAGCTTTATCTCTCTAATTTCACGCTACGCGGGTGTCGTGACGTTCGATCTCGTAGACGTGGATAGCGGCACCGATAGCGACTACGATTCTGACGCGGACTGCTGCGTTTACGGCATGGGCAAAACTCACAACATTTTCGTGTTGAAGATGCGCGACACTGATCACCGGGGAAACTTGCCCGAACCCGAGGTCATTAGCTTGCACGATAATGATCGAGGTCCGGGAGGATCGATTGGCGACGCGCAGGTTCGAGAGAGGTATGCTACATGCTCGTCAGACTGTGGAACGTTTCTGATAAAAATTATAGTGTTGCATTTGGAAATAGTTGCTCTCCTTGTCGCTACAAAAACGTTTTTGCTTTTCAAAATGAGAAGTTCCAATATTGTTGATTTTTGTTGTAGTTTTTGTGGATAATAGATTTGTTCATCCTTTCAGCTACACTGTATAGAAGTTAGTACAGGTCAGCGCTTAATTTAATAATGCTGCAGATGCAGTTTGGATTAAATTAGGAAAAAAGTTGAATTCATTGAAGCTTATTTGCTTGCCATTTAGAAACTTGAAAATTTTAGCAATGTAAACTTTTGGTATCTTTTTGGACAAGTGGTAAATCTGGTTTCGACGTTATATTAAGAACTTTTGAAATGTAGTCAGTGATGTCTTGAATGCAAGAAAGGACAATTGCAAGTGTGGGTTGCTTTAGGCGTTCTCTTTGGAACGTTGTGGTGAAGTGTATTTTGTAATGGAACGTTCCAAATCGATCCTTAAGAAATAGATGTGAGGTGTTTTAATTCTGGATTCAGTGACGCAGGTTGAGATAGTTTTACGGCTCTGTAAACAAGAGAGTCTTCTCAAAGGCTTCCATAAATATATTCCACAGCGATAATAGAGAACGATTGGTGAATTTGACCGTTACAAGAAAAATATGTTCCAGGCAAGTATTTTTCAATTAAGATTCAAGTAAGAAGGTTTGGTTCCAGATTCTCAGGCTTTAATATATCTGAAATAATGTTGAGAATTTCAGGAATAGGGACTTTTGTAAAGATGGATTCTACGTCAAGACGAACCAGAATATCGTTGGAATCCAATGTAATAGTTTTAATTTATTCAATGAATTGATAGTACTCAAATAAGATACTATCATTTTTCACTGTAGAGGATTTTAGTATAGATATTTTGCTGGAGAATATATTGAACGGATGGTGACAATAAACAATAAATAGATTTAGCATGTCTGGATTTTTTAAGGATTTTTGCAGTTTCAAATAGAATTTCATTAGTTGTTTGAGATGACAGTTTGTTTAGGATGCACTTGACATTTGAAATGATTTTCTCCTTTTGCGTGGAGCGATGACAAAGTTGAATCCTTTAGCAAGAACTGATTTTTCTGCCTCAGAAAGTTGATGCGAGGAAACATACCACAGTGTGTAGTAGTCGACTTCACTAGTGTTGACGTTATTTTTTCAAATTTTTAAATGTGATTCTGAGTAAAAGATAAACGAAAATTTCGTTGTTGTCTTCGTTCCTTAAAAATAAAATCCATTATTCGCTGATCCAAAAAATACTTAAAAAATAGAAAAGAAAAACAATTTTATTTTTAACTAAAAAAATATGGCATCGTTGAATTTGTGTGTGTGTGTGTGTGTACTTTTTCTCGGGTCATTAAAAAATATATATAAAGTTGATGGTGGTAGTGCCAATAAGAACGTGTTATTCAAATAAAGTAAGAAAAAAAATAACGTCGATATTGTCAAATTCCTGTTTTTCCCAAACATCTCTCTAGGCTATGATATTTTTGCAAGTTTCTAAATGGCATGCAAATAAGCTTCAAAGATTGCAACTTTATTTTCTTATAAATGAATACGACTTTCTTATCTTATATGACAATCATAGTTCTATGGTCTTTAACCTTTTCAACTATATAGATTTATTGGTATCTGTGATGAAAAAAGGCGGAAATATACTTTTTTTTTGTTTATGTATTAGTAGGCCGTGCATATAGCTGTCGATGTCAGTTAAGGACGTAACTTTTATTCTTTATTGAATTTTGTGTTCTGCGACACATAATTTTAGTGGGCAAACTTAAACTTTTAGTTCCTTTAACAATTTAACAATTATAAAAATATGATATGATAAAGTGTAACATTTTGTCAAACGAAAACGCAGAGGCAGCCAATGAACTTTACCTTATTTTACCAGGCAAGCGACTACTTAAGACTTTAAAAAATATTTTAACCAATTATGGAAGTTTCAAAATGCCAAGGCAAAAACAAAACCACTTAAATGAAGAACATGAAAGTTTTGACTACTTTAAAAAAACGTAAATTCAAGCCATATCGTACCAGAAAATTCCACCGATTACATGAAAGGGATGCCGGTAGAAGAATACAACTGGTTTATCCGAAAATGCAATGAGAATATTAATCTTCCATTGCCTATTGTTTGGAGTGATGATGCGAAATAACATACAATTCTTATCACTGGAGCACAGAAAATCCTTATGCTGTAGTTTATCAAAATCGGCAAGGTAGCTTGGGATTCAATGTATGGGTAAGAATTTTCAGACTTAGATTGGTGGAACCTTAATTTTTTTATGAAAATCTGAAATATTTTAAAATTAAATATTACAAATAATGTCGAAAATTAAAATTAAAATATTAAATGGTTCTTAGGTTTCGCGTTGTTCACTGTAGTTATTTTAAATTGGCCTTATCTTTTTTTTATGTTCTAGTCTATTAAATTATTTTAAAGGTTTCTATGTGACGTCTTTTTGAACACGGCCTAGTAATGGATAAACAAAAAATGTCGCCTTTTTTATCACAGATACCAACAAATCTAGATGGCTGAGAAGGATCCGATACGAGCATTTTTTTAAGACCAAAAAACGGAAAACGAAGAACTGTAGACAAAATCTAAGTACGCCACTTCATTTGCCTTAAAAATAGTAATGGTTTTATCCGCATACATTTTTTTTTTGCATAATTTAACGCGTAGATTGAAAGAGCCCATAAATTGTGAAACAATTTAAAAAAAAAGATGTAATTTTTTAAATAATTTAAATCTAATGCGATCGAAATGTTTTTGGTCCAGTGTTAGGGAGCCGAGTACTTCCGCGGCGAGGGCGGATGTTAAAGGAAAGAGCAAGCGAAAACTCGACCTGGAGGAGCAGCGGTCGAAAAAAATGAAAATAGATCGTGTTCAACACGAGACTCAAAAAGTATATAAAAAATAGTTTGAGGTTATATTTTATGGTAAGTTTGAAATTGCAGGGCGTAAACCGCAGCGAGTTGGAGGATAGTTTGAGAAGAAACGAAGGACCTTCGACCAGTGGTACCATGGAACAAACCAGGTAAAAACTTTAGTACTTTTATTGTGGTCGATAGAAAAAGGAAGTTATCACGAACAACTAGCGAATTATGACGTAAGGCTGCGACGGCCCCTTATTCTCCAGATCTTCGAGTAGTTGTCGCAGTTTAATTAAAAGGTAACGGGTAAAAATTTAATACAAAAGTTTAAGGGTTGTTGCATACTTATTTATATACACTACATGTGCCAAAAAAAGAATGGTATGTATTTGTTTTAATTTGCAGCTCTGTTTATTATTTCTTAAAAAGAAAAGTCCTTTTACGCTGATTTCAAAAATATATGACATGTTATAGTTAGTTTTTACATCAAAGCATAGTTTTCAGTTTTTACATCAATGCATATTATTATTATACAAATGCGAAAAAAGAAATTATTGCATATCAAAAATGATAAAAATGACATTCAAGGTATAGAACATCTTTCAGAAAGTATGGGTGGGGGTGTTTAAAAAACATTTATTTTGAACTAATTTACTGAAGAATGCATTTTTTAAATCCGTATTATTCTGCATCTTCAATCTGAAAGTCATCGGGAACTGTATCCACATCGATATTAAATGGCGAGGAAAACATTTTCATGGAAACCGCTGTCTCTTGTTTAGATCAAAATTATTTTGAATTTAATGATCAGTTTTATATTGTAATTGTAATTGCAATTGTATATTGTATGTATTTATAGGATTAATTTACGGGAAACGCAATTAGTCCACTACTTTCAGAAATTTTCATGGACAATGCTTAAAATATCATACATCATACATCTGTGTAAAGGATTTTGGTATAGATATGTAGATGTTTTTGCTTGTTTCACTGGAACGGATAGACAACTGCAGTCCTTTTTGAATAATATTAACTCCATACATAACCATATAACATTTTTCCCTAGAATGGACTTTTTAAACTTTCTGAACTTAACTATAACTAAATTACAGAACAAATTAGATTTTAGATAGATTTTAGATTAGATACATTAATACATAATAACTCGAATCACTCTTACTCACACAAAATGGCTGACTTTTATTCTTTTATACACAGACCCTAATACACCACTGTCGACCCTCTTTGTTAGATAAGATTATAACTAAAAAATAGTTTCAAATAACGCCGAACTCTATCTATCCCATATTAAATACCGAACCCAAAATGTATATAACAATAAAATGCATAGGAGGACCTAGCAATAAAATTTCGAACCATTTAACTAAATTTGAAAAAATTTTAAAAAACAATAAAACTAAATCACGAAAAACTCAAAAATCCGGAGTCTACAGGTTGAAATGTGGATCATGTCCCAAAATTTATATCGGACAAACAGGTAAAACATTTAGGAAACGCATTAACCAACATAAAAGAGCGTATAAAAATAAAAATTCGGATTCTAACTATTATTTATTATTATTTAAATTCAGAAATACACAAAGCTTGACGACAATTTTTATATTTTACATAATGAAACAAGAAGCAAAAGTAAATTGTCGGTATGTTGTCGTATTTTGTATTTGAAAAAGGCACGGTGTTGTCGAAACAGCTCTCATAAAGTAATAAATAACTGTGAAAATCTTGAACATTTTTTGTTCTAATTTAATTGTGTTAAATGGATTTTCATCAAGCAAAAGCCACCTCAGTTCAATTCTATACTCTTAGCGTTACACCACTACTTCGGTATTAAAAATCACGTCGCAATTCTAAGCTTCTAAATCTTTCAAGAATACATTAAATTTACGGTGACTTAAAGCGCGCGATGTTATAAAATTGATTAGTTTCATTACTGGTACTGTGACATTTGGTAAACTCAATCTTTTCGCAGACAAATTTTCCTGATGAATTATGCAGTGGTTAACGAATATTTTTCTTCCTATAGTTTTCATACTCCTTCTTCGATACTCCTACCTCCGTGCTTGACATCGCCCATGCTCCATTTGTGGATACACCAATAGTCTTTTCTAATAAAATTGAAAAATTTTCCGGCACAGACTTTAGTTCGTCGTACATAGCTTTGCCGGTTATGGTCACTTACATTGGAATCAGTGAATGCAATTCTTCGTAATATTAAATTTCGTGTGAATACCACGCCAGTTGTGCTGTATCGTTAATATCAAGTGTCAAACGACAGTATTCGAATTTTGCAATGCGTTCACGAAACTTTGTTGCTATGTTCTCGCCAAGTCTTCAATTCTTCTTGCATTGGTGAATCTCCATAAACTAAATGCTATTTCTGCCACAGCAGCCAGACATTCTTTTATCATGTCTTCATCCACAAAGGGTTTCATTTTTTTTGCCAGTATACTGTTGTTTTTCCGAATTTGTCTCTATTTGATTAAACTTATCTAGTCGTAGTTGCCCTATTAACTTTTTATATTGTTTTTCATGTTTTGCCTTTTTATGTTTTACTCTTTTAATGTCCCCACAGTCTCTGAGCATATTAAGCATATAGATTTATCTTTAACTGAAGTGAAAAATTAGTCAAATTTCCACTGATCTTGAAAATGGGTGGAAATCTATTATGGACAAAAATATTAATGTGATTTTTTTTTTATGAAAACCTAATTTTGAATGGAAGAAATTTAATATTATCTTTTGGTAATAATATCGCAGTCACACCTTTCAAGAAACACAAGAATGGCTAAAATTGCTAGTTAGCAGCTTGCCAGTCTGACTGATTGTGTGAGAGAATCAAACACAAACAAGCATAGACGCGGCGAGTTCGTATTGCATGTTTGAACAAGTAGCCGACAAGTAAGTAACTCGTCATAATAGTATATTATGCAACAAGTGCGGTAAACCGCATTTGACTCACAAGTTTAATAAACGAGTGACTTAAAAAGTTTACCGAACATGTTGCATACTATATTTTTTCTACGACCGGTAGTTTTTGGGTACATTTTCTCAAAATAACACGAATACATTCATTGACATGGCCGTCAGAATTGGTAAACTAAACTGACGTGGTAAAGTGACGCTTCCGGCACGCTAGATCGGTGTGTAATTAGGTATTTTACAGACGTGAGTAGAAAAAAATTTACCAACGTGTAATTTGTGTAGGCAATTTTTCGTATTCTAAATTTGCTGCTAATGTTTGGTTGTCTGCTTTTTATAGTAAATCTTAAAAGAAGAGAAAGAAAGAACTTAACCCTTGTTTGTCGAACAAATGATACCAAATTCTTTAAAAAAATGTTGTTTAAGAAGTGCATGACCATGTTAATTGTTGCTACATAAAACCACAATCAATATAAACAAGATTATGGCACATATTCTTTCCTAGCTTTAAATACATTAAAAGTATAAAATCAAAATAGTATATTATGCAACAAGTGCGGTAAACGCCATTTGACTCGGGAGTTTATTTGACACGAGCGGAGCGATTGCCTAATAAACGAGTGACTTAAAAGGTTTACTGAACGTGTTGCATACTATACCTAATATACGACCGTTAGTTTTTGGCTACATTTTCGCAAAACAACACGAATACATTCACTGACATGGCCGTCAAAATTGACAAACGTCAAATTAAAGGCGTGGGAAATATCTCTGAAATAATCCGATTGCTTCCAAACCATGTGGTAAAATCCCGGAAATGTTTGAAGTGGCTCGGATCCGCGGGAAGCGAAACTGACGTGGTAAAGTTATGCCTCCCATACACTAGATCGGTGTGTAATTAGCTATTTTTTCTACTCCCGTCTGTAAAATACCTAATTACCCACCGATCTAGCGCGCGGGAAGCGTCACTTTACCACGTCAGTTTCGTTTCCCATGAATGCGAGCCACTTCGGACATTTCCCGGATTGTACCGCACGGATTTGGAAGCAATCGGATGTTTTCGGAGATATTTCCCACCTTTTGAATTTTGACGTTTGTCAATTCTGACGGTAATGTCAGTGAATGCATTCGTGTTGTTTTGCGAAAATGTAACCAAAAACTAACGGTCGTAAAAAAGTATAGTATGCAACACGGTCGGTAAAATTTTTAACTCGCTCGTTTATTAAAAACTCGTGAGTCAAATGCCGTTTACCGCACTTGTTGCTTAATATACTATTACAGACGGGAGTAGAAAAAAAAATCGGTTTAGTACCGTTTTACATATAGTCTTTACTAAAATAAATGTTTGTGATTACATTCATGTTTATTAATTTTCGGTATGTAAGAGGTAGAATAAAAACTTATTTTTCAATTGATTTCGTGATTACTATAATTAGTTTTGTAACAATATATTGATAAGAGAAAGTCGATAAAATAAATTCAACTTTAAAAATGCTTGGCGGGCCGCATCTCATTTATTTTTACTGTTTTGTTTTATTTTAGATATTTTCTGTATCCGTTGAAGGTAAAGCAGTATTAGTCATGTTATTGAAAGAAGTTATAATTAAAACATTTTTGGCTAATTCTGACCTTAATGTAAAAAATAACTATATTCTTGCGTAAAAGACCTCTTTTTTTATGAAATAATGTACAGGGCTTCCAATTCAAACAATAAAACGTTGCTACTGGCACACCTTGTATATAAATAAGTATGTTATGTTAAAAAAAAGCAGGAAGTTGTATTATAATTTTAATCGGGTTTACAAATCAGTCATTGTCTCTCTACAAAGTAAATGCGTAGTCGTAAATTATGGGTTTATAATATATTTTTTTATAAACCAATCTTTAAGTGAACACTAACTTTCCGTTCCTTATAGTATTAGTGGTATTTACGAGCGTTTTAAGTTGGTTCTTTAAAAGTTCTGGCAGTGCCAAACGGTCCGCGTCCTCCTCACTGCACAGGCGCAAGGACACGCAAGACGCCGCCATATCTTGCAACCTCCTCACGTGCGGCTCGAGTATTTCCGTAAAAGAGGCATTTACATCGTTTTTCAACAAGAGGTTATCCTTCGTGATGGCGTCATTCACGCTTAACTCCGAGTCGTAAATTTCCGCCACCATTTCAAACTCTCTGACCCCTCGCGGCTCCACGTACCCGATGACGCCGATGTTATCGTTCTCATTCACCGTTAGGTGCACCTCCGCGTGACGAGTGGTCGCGTTAAGCAACATCAAGAAGAACGGGCGTCGCCTGGGAGCGTCTACGCGTAAAGGTTTCGGACCCAGCATCGCTCGGCTTTCTCAGTTTTTACTGAAACAAACGCCATTGCATAAAATAAAAATAAATTAAATGATCCGTATGGTATGAAAAAAAGAATTCTCATTACAACAAAATACAGCCACTCACACTTAACCCATATCTAAATACAATCTACACGTGTCAAGTAAAAGTAAGCATAAAGTTATAACAATAATTTTTGATGTACCTTAAAGTACACATCAAAGAACCTTATTATAACATATAAATTTACACTTGATTTTAACAATTTAGTTATTTCGCCCGGGAAGAAGTAAATTTCTTTTTAAATAGAAGCTACAAGTTTTGCATGAACCAAGAAACTTTGATTCGAAAACATTATCTAAGGAGTTGAACAAAATTTTAACATTTTAAGTAAAAGAACATCGAAATTTTGCAGTTCTATGTAACGGCATAGTAAGCGTGGCTCGGTCTTTCAGGTTCAGTTCATGAATTCATTTTCTAAATACTAACTTGTCATCCAAACATTTAGGAATACTGGAATTTATCACACGTTTCAAAGAACATAGGAAGTTGTGCTTGAAAACATTTTTTATTTTTAACCAATTTAATTTCAATTTGCGTAAGTTAGAAACAAAGCGACAGTAAGTATTCTGGATTTTCTGTAGCCGATAAGAGGTCACAACAGTGGTAATAAAAATAAAACAATATTGGAGTAAGACTAACGATAGAGAACAAGACTCTATTTTCATGTCATGCGGCAATAGATCTTTATTTGAACACAGCAATCTTTGAACTCATATTATTCATATTGGGAGACACGGGCGACACGATCCAAAAACTTCATATTATCATCAATATATAGACCCAGATTTTTGACAGACTACAACTTGAATAGGTTTATTGTCCACATATAAGGGGTGTTTTTTTTCGATGTATAGAACTTTAAGTTGCAATAAAACAACGATGGATTATTCGATTGACAAGAATTTTATTTATCCGAAAGATAATCTTGTGGCATTACATTTTAAATATGATTTCTGGCATATGACCGCCACGGCTGGCGCGGATGTAGTCCAATCTGGACGTCCAATTTTCGATGACTTTTTCCAACATTTGTGGCCGTATATCGGCAATAACACGGCGAATGTTGTCTTCCAAATGGTCAAGCGTTTGTGGCTTATCCGCATAGACCAATGACTTTACATAGCCCCACAGAAAGTAGTCTAGCGGTGTCAAATCACAAGATCTTGGAGGCCAATTCACAGGTCCAAGACGTGAAATTAGGCGGTCACCAAACGTGTCTTTCAACCAGAAGTGCGCTTCATCGCTAAACAAAATTTGTTTATGAAAATCGGGAACAACGGTAATCTCGTTTTGGGCCCATTCGACGAATCTACGCCTTACTTGATGATTGTTTGGCTTCAATTCTTGCACGAGTTGGATTTTGTAAGCACGTAAACCAAGATCCTTCCACAAAATCTTCCATAAAGTGGATGGACACAGATCCAATTCCTGTGCTCGATGGCGGATGGACTCATTCGGGTCTTCCTTAATGCTACGCTCCTACAGCAGCAATAGCTTCTTCTGTACGCACCGTACGGCGTCTCTGGGGATGCGAGTTATCAATAAGAGTAACGTGGTGTGAAAACGTTCCATGGTTGATCGAATTAACTGCTCTGATTGACGATTTTGTCGACGATAAAATGGACGTAGTGCGCGATACGTATTCCGCACAGAACTATTATTTTCGAAATAAAATAGCACTATTTGCAAGCGTTGTTCAGGCGTGAGTCTATTCATGAATTGCCAAACCAAACTGAGAATAAATCACTTGACAGCTGTTAAATCGGTCGCCATCTTGAACAGTAATGCCAACTTAAAGTTCTATACATCGAAAAAAAACACCCATTAGATTTATACTTTCTCTTGGGATCAAAAATAATGACACTATACTTTGGTGGATTTAATTTAATTATATCCGTCCGCAAAGCTGGCTATGTTTTCTAAATCCCTATTCATGATGTTTGCAGCATATTCACAATTGTCGCACTCAAAACTATGACACAATTGTGTACCATCAGCAAAAAAACTGAGGTTAGCACTGTGCAACCACACCACCCAGATCAGCCGTATAAATTAAAAATAATAAGGACTTAATCCTTCCGGCGTCCAAATAGTGTGTCAACATAATATATCTCATTTGTTAGTATTTTTAAATAAATATGCGTGAAACCATTTTTTTGGTACTCCCTGTATATTATTGTATACCGTATATTAAAAAGCGCGATCTGAAAACATTATTAATAGTTCGATATTTCGGGCCTTAAGCAAGGCAGAATTTGTAAACTAATGGAAAGAGAAGAAACATTTTTTCACCATATTAAAAATTTACCTAAAAATATGTATACCTCAAAAAGATACCAAGTTCTCCGTTTCATTTTTCACGAAAATTTATATTTATTTATAAAATTATCGGCATAAAAAAATTACAGCTGCTGCAAACGGCGTCAAAAATATAAGGTATTGAACACAGGACATTTTCGACAAACAAATAATAGCAACCCTAATTTGAGTATAAATTAATGCCATTAATGCCATATTTAAATATAAGCTTAAAAAAATAAAAATATAAGTTTGATTTCTCGCATGTTAATGAATCACTCGGTATGTTACAAAATAATATTAAATTCTTTCTTATAGTCTCATCTGTAACTTTTCAATGTTACATTTATCTGTAAAACAATAAACGAGACGGTATATTTGGACACTCTGTATATTTTAGCAAAATATGTGATACACAGATATTAATTTGTTTTCGGATTAATGCGGAATAAAAAAATTTTTTCTATCCTGAATAATCGGTTTATTGATTTGAAATTTTGCTGCATCTTTTTTGTTTGTATCATAAAGGAAGAAAAAATTCATTACACAAAAAATAGCGAATATAAATTGAAAACGGCCCAGGTGGTGGATAAATTATGTGCAAACATCAGCTCACTAACAGAACCTTAAAAATCTTTGTAGTCATAACCACAGAATATCATCAAATTTTTCTGTCTATCAGTTTCTAATTGTCATTGCGATCTCGAATTTAAATTTTTTATTTTTATTTTAAAGGCTATTTCTGCATGTAGTTTTTCATGTAAATTGTAAGATGTTTGGCAGATAAAATTACCAGCTATTTCTTTTTAATTTGTGGGCACAAATTATCATGAAATTATCGATTTAATTTCCATGAAAAATGTAAATAAAATCGAAACCACGAAAGATGACTCTTAAGAGTCTAAATATAACTTTATGAGATACAAGTTCTGATAATTGTTGTTTCCTCTCCCAAATATATGATTATAAAAAGTACCAATGGACAATTTGTACTTTTTATAATATAATAATATTATAATTATAATAATATATATATTATAATATATTATAATCATAAAAAAATTGAATTTGAGTATGTAATCTAATGGATATTGGATATATTGAATTTTATTCAGCACTTCAAAAAAAAACATCCTCATTTCATTCGTTTCTAATATACACCCACAGCTATGCATTATATGCATGGTAAAAACATAAAAATCAACCTTTAAAGACAAAATTCCACAGAAGACCTTGCTCAAAAAATTTGAATCGTGTCTACCGCATCTTCAATAAACGCTCAATATCTCCCAAAACACATTTTATTAAACTAGGAAGCGTTAAAAAGGACTTTTGCTAACCTATCAATAGTGCTATGGCCCCTTCTGAATATCTTTATCCTAACCTATCCATAGAAGGATTTAAAGCTCGAAAAAAAAATTGGATTTTGGGAAAAACATCCACTTTACCGGTTGATATTAATGTCTTATCTCGAATTTAACAAATAAAACTGTAATTTTATTATTTATGATACCAAATGGCATTCAAATCAAATATTTAGTGTTGTTACTTATTTTTCAAATAAAAAATTTTTAAGTAGTAAATGGGGAAGCAATAGTGGAAAATCCCTTTTTAGCTACTCCAAGTTTACTAGAATGCGTTAAGCCTTTTTAAACTTAAACTCTCATAGAAAGTGCCAGGGATTTGAGTTATTTTATATACGGTGACAATTAAGTACTTGTACAAACATTAAAAGAGAATCTTTGACTAAGTTTCAGATAAACGGTGCATATGAACAGGGACTCCCTTGAGATTAAAAAATTTTTATTTGGGTTTTTGATTATGCTTTTGTTCAGTAATATGGCCAATAGACAAAACTGAAATTTAAACTAGTTTTTTGTTTAATATTACAAAGCGTGTTGTTTCCAAATAAATGTATTTCATTCTATTTTACGTACAAAAGGTATTCTTAGTACTTGTTTAACGTGGCCTCCCAGATTGTCAGATGTGAATCCTTTGGATTATTTTCTATGGGGTAACTGGAAGTCGCTAGTTTACAGTCCAAAATGAACAAGATCTAAGAAATAGGATATTTGAATCATGTGCCAACAGTTCATATGATACTTCTATCTAAAAATTAGTCAAAGTTAAAGTTTGTATACATTTTTAACCCTGTATCGAAGTCCTCAGCATAACGATTCGGACAATCAAGATAGCGACAAAGGAAAGCCGCGACCCGGAGCAGAGGAAATTCCCGCCGCTGGAAATGAGCCCTTGGTGTTTAGGAGGAACGATTTAATCGCAATACTGGCAAACCCGAGACAATATCAGGAGGAAAATGAGTAAGCATTTTCCGAACCCCTTATCTAACACCCAAATTATGCATTATTTTAGCAGCAAGAAGTTGAAATTAAGGAGGTTGTCTCTGCGGGGCTACAGGATGATCACCGACGCGGCTTTAAGCTACATAAAGAACTTAAATATCGATTTACTAGATGTCACTTACACGGCGGTGACCAGGGAAGGAGTCGAACAGTTTCTAGCGTACAATCCCAAGTGTCGGGTCATACACAAGGACTTTTGCGTTTGCCGGCCCAGAATCTTTATATAAGTGCATCTTAAATTCTGATTAGGATTTTAGTATTTATATTTCCTATGTTTTGCCGTTACCAATGAAATTTCAATAAATATAATTTGAAAATCAACAAAATTGTTTGTTTCATAGCCTGTACAGCCTATATAAATTGCTGTAAGATTTTCATAGGCTTTTACACGAAATGAAAGTAAAATATAAATAGAGAAATATATTTACATTGTATACAAAAAAATGGTTAATACATACAGGTCTGGATTAGGCTTTCGCTCTGAAATCAAAGCCCAATTTTTTCAAGTCCGCTTTGGCGTCCTGGATCTCCTAAAATAACGTTCCTTTAATGATGTTCCTGACGAAATATTAAACAATACTCCACCTTTTGCAATTCCACAGCGGCCTCCTCGCAATCGTTGAACGTCAAAGTTCTGTATAAAACCGTAAAAATCGCGTAGATCTGCAAGTAACTGTTGTAAAACCAATAACGCGTTACATATATCTTACTCACGCCAAATAGCAAAACCAATATGGCCGGAGAAAATAGTAGAAAATGGTAATGGTTTTCGTAAAGACTATTTTGTACTTTTTCTGTGACTAGGGCGTACCAAATGGAAAATAAGACGCCCAGAACTGTTAACCACTCCAACAACTTAGTCATGTTTAGCCCTAGCCACGTTTACACCAGAACACGAAATGTTAACATTCACCATGGAAAACAAGATGAACAATCATTGCGATATCTAGCGAAATAACCGCTTGAACATAGATTAACTAAAAGCTGATAACAAATTTTTCTTAAATTTAAATTTCGTAATATTTAAAACAGTGTATTGACTGATAATTCTGTCAATTAATGAAATTCAGTTAAACTATGATTCTAATCGCAATCACCGAACCGGATGTCGGTAACCGGCATAGTGATCTTCGCCGTGTGGCCCAACATACCAAAAAAAGCAAAAATTGAAGAAGAACTGATCGACAGAAAACAAAAACTTATCGTTTGGTAGTCTGTGACTGATTTGACAGTTTTTATTGATAACCTATTTTTTAAGTTTACTGGAAATTGTTTGGATGGGTACAAAAAGATTTTGTAAACGTATGCGACTGGCATTGTTTCAGCTATACACCACCGGATCACCACTTCGAAATTAACCAGCACTCCTAACTACTACTATTTGTGGTATTCCTTTTAGGATCAAACAGGCTCTATGAAATGGAAAACGGTAGGGATCTATTGTTTCAAAAAACATATGCTGAAAATTTATTTTAGAAGGAACAAAGAAAAAACTTGAAGACTGCGACCGATTAAGAATTCATATTCAGAACATTGATGGATCGGTGGTGAAAATCCACAAAAATCTGTCTTCCATCAATATCACTGTTCCAGAAGATAATTATTCCATTGCTAAGTAAGTGCATACTAGTTATGTCTGTGAAAAATTTTAACAGACATGATAAGGGGGGTTGTCTTTGTGTTTGTAATTTTAGAATTTTTCAAAACTGCAATTGCTTATCAAATAGTGTGCACGAAACGATAAGGATCTTATCTTAAAGTGTCTTATTGTATTAAATAATTATCGATTTATCCGACTTTTAAAAAAAGGGGACTACCGACCAACAGATCGCCCGAAGAAAAATTGCATGCTCTTTGATTTATCGTCGGACTCGATAGTTGGCTAACCCGCTTAAAATAAAGCATTCCAAAAACGGTAACGCGTAAAATTAGTCACGCAACCAACACAGACGGTAGTCTTAATTTTGATAAGACCCATTGTTATTAATCAAGAGAAAAAAAACAATCGGAATAATAGTTTTAGCGGATCGTGGGCATCGTGTTGGCGCCGTGGTCCGTGATGTGGACTGCGAGATTTGGACACAAAAGTTTCGTTGAATTTCTGTAAGTTTGCGCTTCTCGATTTACTTACGCGTTGAATCCTTAAACCCCCGCACGTAACCAAAAATTAGACGATACGCTTCGATTTTGTTTGCTTGAATTCAATCGCGGTTAATAACATGCGGAGCTTTTGTTTTGCGGTAGAAAAGAGACCTTGATTCCAAATCGTGGCGGCCGGCGCCGAGCGCCGACGGCCGCCGAAGGGGAACAACGTTGTCGCCGTCGATAGGGTTCGGCTGCTCCGTAGGACCGCTGGCGCGCCGAGTCCACGGCCGTTTATCGTAATTTTTCCCCTTAATTGTAACCCGCGGTTAATTATAATTCGTTCTTTCCAATTGTTTTGCGCGCTCTTGATTTAGCTTCGACGAGGTGACGTAGCGAAAGAGAACGTGCGGTACGCGCCGTGCGCACTTTCACCCTAGCGTAACCTGAAAGCGCCAAAATGTTCCGCGGTCGTAGTCGGCTTTGCAGCCATGCGACGAGTAAACAGACGTAGCGTTTAAATGTGTAATTAATGTTTACGATACGGCCGATAATGTGACAGCCCGTGAAATGAAAACTCGCGTTCGTGGTATGCAAAGGTGTTGCGCACGGTTTTCGGGAAATTGCGTTTTGCACACGGCCGCTATTTCGCCCGGATGGTCTTACGGAAGCGAATAAAGTGGAGGCAACATGTACGGTTACCGTAGAATCAGGTAGGCTGTGTTTTTTTTTACCGTCTGGTGTTGTGGCGATCTCTTTTTTATACTGTGGCCTCAATTTTAAATTATGGACGTCGATAGTGGCGAAACGTGGGCGAGTTTGATGCGTCGCGGCCCCGTAAAACGGGGCGATTTTGGTGAACGGTGACGCATAGCCGAGCGATGCGTGGTCTGTGGTCGTGCAAATGTAAATATAGCTTCGTTATGGTTGTTATGGTTGTATTTTACAATCGTTCAGAGACGAATCGCACATGCGTATTCGTAATGTAATGTTTTGATTTATTCAGAGCTGGGTTTCGAACTAAAAAATCTCTGTTCTGTTAATTGTGTTGAAAAGTTCGAACTGTGGGACTAATTGCCAGAATGGTGGTCGCATCGAGCACGTTTTTTTATTATGTGTTCAATTATTTCTATTATGGTATTAATACACTAACGTCCAGTGGCAAGAATTAACGCCTTACCATTACTGTTATTTGTTTTGTATTGTTATATTTTATAGGATTTCACTGTTGTTTAGCTTTTTTTGCCTTATGTTCTAATTCAAATTTCGTCGCCCCGAAGATAACGATTTTACTTTAAAAAACGCAAACTTATTGTGGTTTAAATATAGGTAAACTGAGGTAGTATAAAGTACCGAAAACTGCTAAAGCTGGATTGATAAAATTCAACATCTGGAGGTTTCTGAACATGCAGAATTGAAAAATGCTAACAGTAATGTTGTCAAATTTACCATTTATACGTTAAACATTATAATTTTGTTATTTTAAATGTAATGTTACATGTCCAATTTAGTAATGTCTCAAATGTTTAAAAAATTTGTTTCTATTAATTATTGAGCTACGGCAACACCGCATACACTTGTAAGGTTTCCTATGTTAGAAAACCCCTAAAAATCTGAGATGTAAGAATTGTTTTATTGACAGTGGCAAATCTGACAACACTGCTGTTACCATTTTTGAGTTATGCATGTTCAAAAACCTTCAGGTACTGAAGTTTATCGTTCCAGCTTTGGCATTATGATATCTCACAAAATTCGATATGAACAATTAAAAGCAACATAAAGAAATAGGGAATTCCATTTGATCTCCTGCTTTAGCTTATTGCATAAACGCATATTACCAATTAAAATTGAATAAAACGGCCACTGTTAAAAATAGTGCTAAATCGATAGGAAATTTAAAAAAAATCAAGATATCCGAGAAATAATTGAAAATGGGTAGGAAATCCACATATAGACGGTACGATTTGCGGTGACATAGTCGGTCATAAACCCAAGAGAGAATGTGCCTCAGTATTTTACCTGTTTCCATTCGTATATAAAGAATGTCAAAACCCACCCGTTTACTTGCTTAGTTAGTGTTCTACCTTTGTCTATTATGCTCGATCGACAACAAAAGAAGAAGTTATTAATTTGCCGCGGAGTTGGCGGATAAATTACCTCGAAAATGGTCTAAAATACGAGTTGTTAAAAATTGTCAAAGACTGCAAAACAAATTTGCAGTATGTTACGGACGAAATAATTGCTGAAACGGGTCATAAAGTTTTGAAATTTCCTCGTTATCATTGTATATTTAATGCCATAGAATTGGTGTGCGATCAGTGCAAAATGTTTTTGAATAAAAATATTGTAGTGAGGCGAGGCTACTGGAGTGGAATCTGTTAGGAAGGCAGTTCTCCAGACAGTTACCAAAAAAATTGGATCAGTTGTATAACACATACAGAAAATATAATAAAAGAATTCTGGGAAAAAGACAATACACTTGACGGTACCACCAGTTGTTATTAATGGACCATTTTCTGATAGTGGCAGTTCCAATGTTGGCTCTGATGCAATTATATTTGCAAATTATATTTTATGCGGTATGATATACATTTTTTTCATTTTTCGTTTTTTTTTAGTATTGTTTTAATTATTATTGCCTGGACAGGGTTTTCGGACAATAGTTTATTTAAAACAAATGAAAAGAAAGGGACAAAAGCATGATTTTTGTGGCGGCAATTTATTTTTTCAGTAATTCTTTTGCCGAAAATTTAATAATAAATTTCGTTATTCATCGTTCATTAGTTTTATATTATATGTTATAGGGAATTGTACATTTATTATTTTTAAGCTTAAATGATCCAACTTTAGGTTTAGTTTTCGAATCGTATTAATTGTAAATGAATTTTGTAAAAAGCTCAATTGTTTACAGAACATTTCATTTAACTGCCAATTTAAGCTGAACTGTTATTACTTTGCTCCATATTCACCTCAACAAGAGACAAATCCAATATCCCAGTACAACCTAGAATAGGTTGTTTCAAGTCTGCGCTGCTCAGTTATTGCACAGAACCGATTCTCATTTTCAAACCAAAACAAACTTAATATTTTAGCGCAGTCAGGTACCTAATAGACACTTTAATCAAATAGACGGCCGATAAGGTGCGGTTATTGCGATAGAAGAAAAGTCGACGCGATAAGCGTTTTATTGGGACAGTGCGGGAATTGTTTTTTTAGTAGCAAAGTTCTGACGAACGTTTCGTTGAGTGCGATCAGTGATACATACCTGTAGGAGTAACATTAGGGTTGTTTTATACCTACATATCACAGATACAAATAATCAGCTATTTTGGTTAATTAGCGAAAAGTTCAAGTTCGACAGGAGCCTTGAAATAGTAGATGTACTGTTACGGGTTATAATTTCTTTTAAATGAAATAACCTATTATTTGATCCATGTTTGATATGGGATACATGATATATGAACCGAATATCGAGAATTGCGCGTTAAGAAAAAAAAGCACTTGGTGGCTGTTATCAACGAATCAGGCAGAATATCAGTTCGGTAGTTGGTGCGATCGAGTGTAGTGGTTTTTAAAATTGCGCAATCATGGATCGGATGCCTTTACTGGAGGATACCGACGAGTCAGACGAGTAAGTCCGCCTTAAGAAGCTCCAATAAGCGATCGTTAAGCATAGAGTCGTGATTGATGAAGCGAACTTCAGGTTAAATACGGTCTAGAGCAGGGGTCTCCAAATAGTTGCTCATTTTGACCACTAGATTCAGTTGTCACATTTAGCAAGCGTATGCTTAGATAACTTCAGAAAGATTAATACGGCTTTGGCCCTTGGCACTTCTGGAGGACCAAGACCGAAAAGGACTGCCTAGAGGACCCGCATGTTTGTGTTTAGTAGGGTTACAAGTCGTTCCACTCTAGAATCCTTATTGGGGCATTTGAGTCAGGTGTGCAAAATAGTGAGTCCCAATTGTCCTAACTTTGGTTTATCTGTGGTACTTTGGACAAACAACAATCCTCCAACAAGTTCTCCCCACTGTAGCTTATATAATTGGTTGAAAATACTGAGTACCGTGGAGTTTATCTTTTAATTAGTCTTCTTCATGTGCCATGTACTGTAGAGAGTGCGACTCTTTCTTCTGCAACCCTGAACAGGTCCCCATCCATCCCATCCCATCTTCATTTAAACTTTAACGTTAAAGTACTGCTTATTCAGTCCTAATTTAATATGGAACGATGGTAAGAGATATTTACGGGGATCAATAAGACTATCGTTTAGAATATTTTTTGATACGACAGTTTAATTAACCCTTTTGGTCAGTTTTTTTGAGGCTCAATGTTGTTGTTGTTTCTACTGTCTCAATCACAGAAAAAACGGGGATACTTCGTATATCCTGGCAGTTACAAAATTAGCAAAACTTACGTCCTTTTTATTATAAAATGTCTTATTCTGCAAGAGAAAAATTTAATTTTGTTAAAAGCAAAGAGGGGCTAAGCTGGCTCAAAGGAAACTTGCTATAATTACCACCCGATTGCACTTTCCAGAAAAAAAAACCTTTCATCCAATCTATGAAAAATTTCAACAAACGTTCAGCCTATCTCCAAAGAAGTTCCAATTAGCACTCTTATTTGGTTTATTAACCTTTATCTGTGGGTGATTTCTGAAACACCCTGTATGTGTAAAATATATCTTTCAAATTTTTTGCTATTTTTTGAACAACTTTTGTATTTGACATTTTTTCAAATGCTAATTATAAGACAGACAATACAGTTGCCGTATATCCAACAGGCCACGCTTCTTGAACTACCGTAAAATTGTAAATCAATTTCAGCTTGTTGCCTTACACCTTTTGCATGTATACAAGCCCATCCTGGAAAACTATTTTCTGTTCCTATTCTTCATTTTAAGCTACCAAATTGTCGCCTAAAGTTAACTAAATCCTTGTTTAAAAAAGTAATAGAATGTTAACTCAATAAGGTGAAATATTTATAATAAGTATTAAATTTGATATCGTTATAAAATTCGGCAATCTAACGACTTGTCAAATGAAATTCGATATGGCGCCCAGGGCAAACAAAGTAAATAACCTTTCCTTGTAAGCAAAACTGTTTACTTTTTAGCAGATGATCTTATTTTGTGTCTGTTGAAAGTGTTTAGTTCTTTTCTAAACTATAAAAACTTATTAATTTTTGGTTTTCAATTGTATTTTGCTTTTCTTAACTCTTGGTAAGTATTGTGTAAAAACATACGTTTTAATTAGTGTAGTAATACTATATTACTTTGAAATACATATAAAATGAAAATGGTTTAAAATGCAAGTTGTATTGTGGTTGATTGTGAAAATACGTTCAAACTGCGGTCGAGTAGATTTTTTGCAAAGTGCCAAAGGAACAAACAGCTAGGAAAAATTAAAGATTTGGAACAAAGAAAAAAGAAAAATTCGCCATATGCCTTAATGGATGATACATCGAATATAAACAAATGGACATATTGTACTGGCTTTGAATATGGCATGCTTAATTTTTTAACATTTGAAAACATAAAGGAATATATTCCCATTACTGCAGCATTAAGTTGCTGTAATCAGTTGATCATCACCTTTATAAAGTTATCAAGACTGAATCCACACTTGGCATATCATTTTAAAATGTATACTTTTAAAATACCTATTTCAAAATATTAATTAACAAATGTATGAGCTGTAAAGACCAAATTTTTTTATGTAAAATAAAATTAATATTACAATGATTTCTTGTTTCTAAAATTAGAGGTTCAAAATTTTTGAGTGTGTAACGCAACAATGTTTAACTTCAGCAGCTCCCATTTCATTGGTGAAGAATTTACCCTAGAGTTCTGGCATTATGACCTCATCATGGTACCTACTGAAGAGCAATTTTTTAATTTTCATGCCAAAATTCCCAATTCGAATAAATTCTTTGTTTAAATAATATATTCGGCGATCATATGACAAAATCGCTATATTTCAGATTTGATGCAAATATTTGAATCTGCACTTGACAATAATAAATATCCATTTTCGGACATATTCGTTTTTAATTTGTTGTTAATAAATATGGGCACTTCCCATACAACACTTACAAAACACTAATCTGTCTGGAGATGCCGCTAGTTCAGGCCACTTTTCACTTATTAAACAAAAATGTCGTTCCTTATAGTAGAACCCACTTTTAAAACAAGGGCTGGTTCTTAGTGTAAAAGCTATGGCAAAACAAAAAATAACTTATAATATCCATATTGGTGACTGATGAAACTCCATCTACGAATTGTAGTTTCATCCGATATCTACAAAAAAAATCATTTCAACAACAACACCAAGTATTTTACATTTTTTTAATATTACATTTCGCCAATTTTCTTGTAATAATTTTGTTCCCTAATGAGTCTCCATCTCAAAATAACTGACAGTCAAAATAGGACGCTGCGAAAATCGATTTGAATACTTCAAAACTCACCACACTAATGATTTTCTACCCGAGCTACAACAATAATTGTTTGCGCTAGACGGCCGTATTTGATCGTGTTATTTGGATTGCCTACTTTGCTGGTTCTAACCAAAAAATTCTGTTTATTTATCTGTCACTCTATCACGTATAATTTTCTCTGTAAGTCACTTCTCAGCCGTTGGTAGATCTGTTGTTCGAAATCCTACACGAACTTTTCGACACTTTGTTAGCATATCTTTGGATTCGTTAACCTCTCGCTGTCATTGCAGCACCACCTCGGATTCCTTCGGCGTCGAACGTCAAAATGGCGCCGGTGGTTCCCCCAAGGGTGACTCCAGGTATAACCCGACCACGCACGGTAACGATACCGTGAGACTGAACGTTACTGGCATGACCTGTCAATCATGCGTCAACAGTATTCAAGACAGTATCGGTAAAAGGCCCGGAGTCAATAGGATTAAGGTAAGACGAGGAGTTTAATGAGAAGAACGACTTTTGTTTAATCAAATTACTTAAATGTAAAGATCAAATTATGAACGTGATTACTACTACTACTACTAATACGCAAAAAGTAGTTCAGTAACTAAAAACAATGCAATATAAAATTTGATATAATAAACATATACCGGGTGATGCATTGCCGAACGGAATATAGGAAATCCCCTGTAAATTTTTAGATGCCGAAATACATTTTATTGCAAAGTTGTAATTTAACTTTTTGAACTCATGTGCCAAGTTTGAATAAATTTTAATAAGCCAATCTTCAGTTAATAAATTAAATATGACGGCAAAATTGCAAAATATTAATACAACAAACACTAGCGAATATTTTCCATGACGTTATTTCCAAAACTTGACGACGTCAAGCTGAACAATGACATATCATTTAAAGGACGGTTTAGGCAACAAGGAGCTTCAAGAGACGACTATAAATTGGACCCTCATGAGTTTTATTAAAAATAATTAATAATTATAATAAAAATACGGCTACCAAACATTGCTTAAAAAGACACATTATTTTTTAAGTAAATGTTCAAACATCCCTCCATTAACAGTTAAACGATCATAAGATTCATTTCTAACATTGCTTAGTTGATATTGTGAAATCCTGTCGTATTTATAGATTTTCAAATTTAACATTTTTCTAGATAACACTTTTCAAGTGACCCCAAAGCGAGAAATCCATCGGCGAGAGGTCGGGTGATCTGGGTGGCCTAAGGATTCCGAACTTTGGGCCAATAATATTTCCCAAATATTCCCTAACCATCTTGACGAACAACTTCTTCTAGTGCGGGTTCAATTTGATTTTGTAACAACTCCAAACAACCAAAACAAAATGCTGCTCTTCACAAATGAAAATATTATTACTATCACCAATTTTCGTGTTATCATTGTCAAAATGTGTTTTACTGGGGTTTGATTTATTATCTAGCGGTCTAATTCTTTAAACAGGAAACGCGGAAGATCCGGTGCTATAACTTTTATTGCAGACATTTTTTCGATTATATGCAGGATTTTTCATTTGTGCACAAAAATCTAAGGGACCCTGAAAATTGTTCTTTTTCAGCGTAAATTAATAGTCGCAAATTAAAATTCATAAAAAATGGATATCTAGTTTATACCAGTAATGTAGGCCTTATCAAGAACTACAATTTTTGTTGTATTGTTGGGTTTCGGCTGTCAGATACTAGGTATTTGAAAAAAATCCATATGAAAATCACTATTTCTCGCGGTCAGTCTAGATGCGATAACATTATTGACAATTTCAGCCTACTGGATTATAGTTTCGGAAAAAAAATATTTTCTCGAAAACTATTTATCATCATGATCATCGTCATAGATCAGGAAACGTCGGAAATCCATGGCTATAACCTCTGCTTCAGATATTTTTAGAATTATATACAGGGTGTGTCATTTCCCAGCGGACAACACGACGATAATAAGACGTCGATTATTGGTAACAAATTACGTTGATTCGGCCTTACCGTTGACTTATATATGACGAAAAAATGACGTGAAAATATCACTGCCCATTTATACGTAGATTAGGAAACGTAAAATAACGTCATATTAAAACTTAAATTTTACATCATTCTTTGTTGTTGTATGGCGTACTTTACACGTGCCCAATTAAGGTAGTATGGAATCTAAAAAAAGAAGAATATGTAACGAAAAATGTATTAAATATATAAATTTTTATTATTTTACATTTTTCTAAAAAACAAAAAAAAATATTTTGGACATATTAAAAAAGCCGCGGAGGTCTACTTAAGTTGCCCAAACGAGTGTAATACTGGAAACGCGCAACTCTCATCTTGCAAAGGAAGGATAATAATCCCATCACAAAATTGTTGAGATAAATCTCCTAGCACATCTATATACAAATCAACTGAATTTAATGGATTGATAACTATATTTTGTAAGTCAGAAAAAATTTTTCCCACAATAAAAATACCGCCACCATTCCTCCTTAAGATATTATAAATTTCAATAGTTTTATTGTCAATCATTCCATAACAATGTACTTGAGCAAAGTTAATTGCCGTTACAGTGAAATTTTGAAAAAACAGTTTTTTATACTGTTTGTTGTTATGATAATCATTGACTTTCAGAGGCCCACAATTATGTGCAAAGGCGCATTTTAAGGTTTTCAAATTAAGGTAAGGTTACCATGTTCTAATAATCGTCTACTTATTTGTTGCAAGGGAGATTTTGATGATTTAACCAGTAACTATAAAAAAAAAATTAAAATTGGAAAAGATGAAAAATTGTAATGCAATATCCACATTTCCTTTAAGGTGAAATGTTGTATATTGGAAACTATGGCCCATATAAATGATGACAATGTTTTACAAAATTCTTTAATAAATTATCAGCTAATTCTGTACCAAATTTGGCTATATGCATATAAGAGCACAACTCAGAAGAAATTCCCAATATTTCATTGTTTTGCTCTTTAATGTAATTGAGTAAAAAAAATAGTTTACCTCAATCCTAGAAATGTTTTATATTTTCATCTACAGATAATTCTATTATGTAATCTTCAAAACTAAATAGTTTGTCAGTGTCTTACCTGACTCGAAAAAAATTCTATGCACATTACATAAGGGCCAGGAATCTTCCTTTGGAGATTCTCCCTGTTTTAACAGATTTTCTTGGATTTTCTAGGAGTTAACCAACAGTAATAGATAAGCCGCCACCGTCTTCAAACTCGACTATTATGAAAGGGATTTCTGCATAATTAATAAAGAATGTGCTTACTAAATCAAGGGACGACTAATTGTCTCAGTCCCTACGAAATACGCAAAAACATCATCCACATATCTGTACCACCAAAGAAAACTTTTAAATAACGGATGTTCAAGTATAATATTTTCCAGATTGTCCATAAAAATTTCGGCAAGTAGAGGACTAAGTGGGTTTCCCATAATTAGTCCTTCTTTAGAAATATAAAACTGACCATTAAATTCAAAGTAATTTTGGTCTAAACAAACTATTATACTATCCAATAAATCTTGTTTAACGATTGGGTTAATTTGTTTTTAGGTGAGCATGCTGTCTATTATGTTTATTACATCAATAGGTGGAATATTAGGAAATAGATTTTGAACATCGAATGAAACTAATAATGCATTAGGAGGGATATTAATATCTTTGACCTTGTTGACTATTTCAAAAGAGTTTTTTATTGTAAATTTAGGTTTGAAGTCTGTGTAATTTTCTAAAATATTTATTAATCTTGTGGACAGTTTGACAGATGGTGCTGTTACAAAAGACACAACCGGCCTGATTGGCATACTCTGTTTATGTAATTTAATTAGAGAGTATAATTTTGGGGGTTGCGGATTAATTATTTTTAGTTGATATTTATCCGTCTTATTAAAAAGTAAGGAATCTTTAAGCAATTCTTTGATTTCTCTCTGGTATGTTTCGGTAGTGTCGTGTTGAATATATTGGTATAGTTCTGGTTTAAGAAATTGATGAGTTTTAGAAATGTATTCTGAAGAATTGATAGCTATGACTGTCTTTCCTTTATCCGCTCGAGTAAATACTATATCGTTCTGGGAACTTTTAATTTCGATTGTTTTAATTAAGGACATTTGGGAAAGATCTTGATGTTTTTTGCTAGTTGAGACATGTGATTTAATTAAATTAGCTAAAATGTGTTTGTTTGGGTTAGGATCGTAATTGGCGATAGCCAATTCGCACTCGACGCCTAAATTATCTAATTCCCTATTTGTGTTTGGATATTTTAAATTAAAGTTAAAACCCTTTTCTAGTAGTTCAATCTCACTCTCAGAAAATGTGGTCTCAGTTAAGTTAACAAATCTATTTTAAAACCTATGGTTGGAAAACTTTGAAATGGTAGTCTTGTTTTTAGAGATTTTTGTAGTAGAAATTAACCTATCTAACTTTGATTTTTGTCTAAGATATTTTTTGTGGATAATATTTGAAATATCCAGTCGGACTCTATTGTCTAGAATGTCAAACTCTATGGGATTAAGTCTATGAGACGATTCGGAATTTATAGGCTGATAACTACCCCTCTTTCTGCATTAAACTTTGAAAAAGAATTAAATATTATAAAAGAAATTGCATTCAACAATGGCTATTATTGGTCACTGAACTTTGAACTCTATATACCCCGCTCTATTACTGAATCTCAAGGTTTTAAAACATTAACATACATAGGAGAACCTAGTAATAAAATTTCAGATTATCTCTCGAAATGTGGCCTCAAAATTGCTTTTAAATTTTAAATTTGATATAAACAATAAACCTAAATCTAATAGATCCCAGAATTCTGGAGTCTATAGATTAAATTGCGGATCATGTTTTAAGATTTATATTGGACAAACAGGTAGATCTTTCAAAAAATATATCAACGAACATCGACGAACAATAATTCAGATTCTAATTACGCTATACATTTAAATTTAGAAAAACACAATTTTGACGACAATTTCGATATTTTACACACTGTTTCAAAAAGTAGAAAATTAAATTTACTAGAAGCTAAGGCGATTAATAAGATGAGAGGCTCGAATGTATTACTTAATGACCAACTGGATTTGAATGGATCCCCCTTGTTAAATCTCAATGTAATACCTCACATTAAGTAATTACAACCTGTTTTGTATTTATAAACATCGGTACCGTTTGATATTCGCATTTGATAAAGGCACGGTGTTGCCGAAATAGCTGTCATTTAAATATATTTATGTGAAAATCTGAACAACGTTTGTTCTTACTAAAACAGTATTCAGTTAATTACAGTTAACATTGGAAATTTTTGTAGAGTTCGACTTTTAAAATTGAATATAATAATAATAATAATAGTAATAATAATAATCTTTATTGTCTAACAGATTAACATCTATTTAGAAGACATTTTCATCTTGAGAACTATAACTAAAATTATAATAAGTAGTCAACTATATACACTCCAGCAAAGTAAAAGTGAAACATACAATCCGTTACAATATTTCAAATTTACGTTTAATTAATATGGTAAACTGTGAGCGATTAAGACAAAAAACATCACTGTTGAACCGCATTCTAGTTTTGAGTGCAAATAACTATAGTATAACAGTTTTGGAGTATGTTTCCTTGCAAAATCTCACTATGAATCCCAGCACTTTGAGTGCACTGCCACAGGCTTTATCGACATAATTTCTGAAGGAGAGTTTTATGTCAAACTTTACACTCAGGTCATTGAAATTGTCACATTTTCTTAGTAATACGTGATCCAGATGATAATTAACTGTTATAGTATCAATATATAATTTCCAGCATTTTCTTTCTGCCGATTTACTTACTACGACCGTAACGGGACAAACGGTATATTTTTTTAAATACGCGCTCGGATTTTGGGCGGCAATAAACTGTTTTATGTAGCCGATAATGACGCCATATTTACCGACACTTATCGGGAGGATTAAAAACCAAATTATACAAAAAAAATCGTTTCATTCGCGCAGGTTAGTTTAGAAGATAACGCTGCCGTTGTGTCGTTCGATCCTGCGTTGACGACCGCGCGAGACATCCGCGACGCCATAGACGACATGGGTTTCGAGGCGACGCTGCCGGCGTCGCACGGCGCCATCGGTGAGTGCGTCGTCGAAATCGGCGGCATGACGTGCAACTCGTGCGTCCAAAGCATCGAAGGTATGCTGTCCACCAAACGAGGCGTCGAATCGATCAAAGTGGACCTACAGGCGAAGGAGGGTCGAGTGCGATATCGTCCCGACGAGGTGAAGCCAGGAGAGATCGTCGAACAGATCGAGGACATGGGATTCGACGCGCGTATTAAAAGCGTCGACGGCAAACCGGTCAAAATGGGTAAGAATAATGTAAATTTATATGTTATTACTTATCAATTGCTTTTACTTACTTTATTTCTAAATGCTCCGATTTTAAAAGTTCTACTACTTCTAAAACTCCAGACATAAAAGCTCATCTATTAGCTCTAGTTTTAAAAGTTCTAGCGCTCACAGCTCTAGCTGCAAAAGCTTCTCTATGAGCTCCAGTTTTCAAAAATTCCTCCAAAAGAACTGCCTTTAAAAGCTCTCAATCATTGACTGTTTGTCCGATAAAGTTTTTCTGTATCTCGTAAGGGACAGTGGGGAAGGCAGAATTAAAATCCGTTTAAGAAGTGACCATACGTAAAACTCGCCCAAAACGTTAAAAGCTTTTCTAAAAGCTCCTCTGAAAATCATAATTGAAACTACTGACTCTATTTAAAGCTCTGACTTTGAAAGTTCCTCTTAAAAGTGTAACCTCTAAAATCTCTTCTAAAAATCTGGCTTTAAAAGCGCCTCTAAAACTTTAGGTATTTTAAAAGCAGTTCTATCTTTAAAAAATCTATTTCTTCAGGCCATTTAAAATATCTGGGTTTAAAAACTCTAAAAGTTATAAGTCTCTAACTGCCTTTAAAAGTCAAGTTCTATAAGTCTTTTAAAATCTCTTGAAAACTAAAAGTTCTAGCTCTAACAGGTCTAGCTGTAAAAACTCTACTATAAACTATGAACTCTAGTTTTGAAAGGTTAACAGCTCCAATATAAACGATAGTTTTAAAAATTGCTCCAAGAGCGCGGGCCTTAAAAGCTCGTCTAAAGGTTTTAGCTCCAAGAGCTCTACATCATTCCATTTTTGCAAATAAAGTTTTACTTCTTACTCTTCAATTTATTCTAAAAGTTCTGGTTCTAAAAATCCTCCAAAACTTTAGTTTTGACAGCTTTCGTAAAGGCTGTTTCTTTAAGCTCTAGATTTAATACTTGCTTAATACTTATTCTGCCTTTAGAAAGCCTAGTTCTAGAAGTCTTCTAAAATGTCGGAACTGAAAAATTAAAAATTTCAAGTCCAACCACTCTGATTGTAAAAGTTTCTCTATAAGCCCTAATTTTAAAAGGTCCTCTAAAAGCTCTGAAAGTTCTAGCTCTAGAAGTTCCGTTATAAGGTCTGGTTTTAAAAATTCCTTTAAAAGCGCTCCTTATCGTTCAGATTTTGTCAAATAAAGTTTTTTGTTACCTCATAAGGGACAAAAAAGAAGTAAGAATTAAAAAATATAACCATAATTACTACCTATGAAGTGATTTTACTTAAAAGTTCCTCTAAAAGCGTTACCTATAAAATTTCTGGCTCGAAAAAGTTCTAGCTCTAATAGATCTTCCAAAAGTTCTAGCCCTAAAAGCTCCTCTAAAACTTTAGGCCCAAAGGCTCCTGTTAAAACTAGCCTAAAAGCTGTTTCTTTAAAAGGTCTAGCTCCAAAAATTCCTGACAAAGTTCGACCTCTAAGCGGTTTAGTTCTAGAAGCTTTTTAAACAGCTTTAAAAGTTGTAGCTTTAACTGTAAAAACTCCTCTATAAACTTCACTTTTAAAAAGTTCCTCTGGCGTTGAGTGCTTCAAAAGAGGTTGTATCGTTATCATTCATTTTTTTACGAAATAAACTGTTCTCCATCTCCTCAGGAACTGGGAGAAAGAATAAAAAAATTTTATGCCTTACTTGATCTCTCAAATCTCTGACCAAAGTTCCCATAAAGACGTTATCACCGAAGTATCTCCTCTAAAGGTTATCTCTAAAAGCAACACATCATTCATTTTTTGCTGTCTTGTAAGACACATTATTATTTATGAAGTGCTCTTACTGAAGAAAAAATTAAAGCCCACCCGCCTAGTTTAATTTTTACGTAACATTAAAATAACGTACGCCCACGCACTGGGTTACATCTACCCGAATGTAGAGGGCGCCAGAGTTCGAAACTTAATTTAAAATATTCACCTAGTTTTGGTTAGAATATAATTAATACAGAAGAAAATATTCCGAAGGGCAAATTTGAACTTCACAATTATTATATTGGTTGTGCATATAATAAGTAGGCATTTATTGAGCACACCTGACAGTTAAAACGGTAAAACAATGTTAAAAAAAACATTGGATTAGATTATTTCCTTTTCAGGAATCGAACGCAAAAAAGTTATGATAATCTACATTTTTAAAAATATTCGTGTCAATGCCTCGAACCGGAAGAAAGTGTTGATAAGTTAAATAAGTATACGGCGCCCCCTATTAGCGATATCAAAATCGCGAATGAATTTGAATTTATCGCATCGAAAAAAGCTCGTGATTTCAACTTTACGATCACTGTTGACACCTTACATACATATATTTCATGTTACGCACTTTAACGCAGCGTGCTCACTTCTCTTGCATTTACATTTATGTCATCTGTCTGAAATATTGAGTCCTGTTTTTAAAGTCTTTTAAATCAATATGGCCCAGCTTGTATATTATATGGATCCCATTATCATCTGTTTTTAGAAAAGAGTGCCATTGTCGCCAATGGAAGTTTAAAAAAAGGATTGAACGACGCGGAACAGGATTTGAACTTGGAGAAATGCCAAATACAAATTAACGGCATGACGTGCGGCTCGTGCGTGGCTGCAATCGAAAAACACGTCAAAAGGATACCCGGTAAGTTCGCCCTAGTTCCAAAGGCTCCTCTCAAAGCACCTGCAAAAGCTCCATTCCTGCTCTGGCTTTACAACTAGCTTTAAAATCTCTTCTAAAAGCTCCCAACGCTCCTTTCAAAGTTATCCAAAAAAGCGGTTTCGTTAAAATCTCTAACTCTAAAAGCTTCTGTAAAAGTCGGAAAGATATTTTCGTAAAAGCTCTATTACTTAAAGCCCCGCAAAAATCTGTAGTTGTAAATGTTCCTAGCTGCAGAAGCTCCTTTGAAAGCTTTTATTAAAGATACGGTAAAAACTTGTGTTTAAAAGTTTTTACCTCTGAAAGCTCCTTCAAGAGTTCTACCTATGAAAGCTTCTCTAAGATATTTTTGAAAGCTCTAGTTCTCAAAGCTTTGGTTGAGTTGTAAAAGCTCCTGTAAAATCTGGGGCTCTAAAAAGCTGTAGCCCTGAAAGTCGACGCTGAGAAAACTCATTTTTTAAGTTCTATCTCTAAAAGCGTTGGTTTTAAAAGCTCGCTAGCAAATCTCACGGTCGCGGTGACGTTTTAGGTTGTCACAAAATTTTGGTCAGCCTCTTGGGGGCCCGGGCCGAGGTGCAATTCGACCCGTTTTTGGTGACTCCGCCGGACATCGCGGCGTCGGTGACTGAGCTCGGGTTTCCCGCATCCGTAATAGTGCAAAGCGGAGCCGGACAGTACGAGGTCTGTAGCAGAGCAGTGACAGTTGTATCATGAAGGATAACTTTGTTTTTTTTTCTGTAGTCTGTTTCTGAGCAGTGCTTAAAACTCGAGGAAACTACTTTTGAATATGTTGCAGTGTGACTATAAATATCTAAATAGATAACTAAGATATTTACAAATCTTCTGGATTCCTTCTGCGTCGGTTGTTGATCTAACTTGCTGACGTTTCGCTTAACTGAAACTGGCTCGCATTCTACTCTATATTTACTTATATATTGTTTGAGGAGGGCGGAGCTAAAGGAGGGGCATGAACATTGTCTCTGATGATGACCTGAGTCGCGGTTAAGATTATTTGGTTGCTTGTAGATTTCTATAGATACTCGGATTTTTCGTTAGTAGAGGAATTGATTACAAGCAAGAACTTTAGCTTTATCGAATAAAATTTGATGTCTCCTTTTGTGATTGTGTTCGGCAACCGCTGATGAGTTTATTTGTCGTAATCTTAAGGTTATTTTATATTCTTTGAGTCTATTTTTCGTCCGTCTCGCCATATGTATTCTTTGCCATAGAATGCTGCAAACGCCTGGTCTCTTAAACGGTACTTTGTCGTTGACTGGTCGAAGATGTTGAGAGACATTTTACGTTATATTTCTTAAAAACTTTTAAAATTAAAGAGAAAAGTATATGTAAGGTGTTTAGTTTTGGGTTTAGTGACTCGGGTTGAGATCGTTTTACGGCTCTGTAAACAAGAGAGTTGATAACCGATGATTTTTGGGCCGGATGGTGATGTGACAATGCATTAAAAAATATCATCAACGTAACGTTTCCATAATTTTGGTTTTAAGTGGAAGGTGTCGAGGACTGTCCTCTCAAAGAAATATATTCGCTATGACTGGTGATAATTTTATTGTTATAAAAAAAGTATGTTCCAGACAAGCATTTTTTAATTAAGATGAGGTTTGCCTCCAGATTCTCAGATTGTAATATATCTGAAATAATGTTGAGAGGTACGGGAATAGGGACTTTAGTAAAGAGAGATTCTACATCGAAACTAACCAGAAGATCCTGTGGATTTAATGTAATTGTTCAATGAAATGAAATGAATTAAGTATGAAACTATCAGTTATACATGTGGTTTGCAAATCTTAGGGAATGCGTAAGACGGACGAAATTTTAGAATTGTGAGGGATGACATGCCCCTCCTTTAGCTCCGCCCCCTCAAACAATATATAAGCAGGTACAAAGTAGAATGCGAGCCAGTCTCAGGATCTGAAAAAGCCATCAGGATGATTATCGAAACGTTAGCAAGTTCGATTTATCAACAAACGACGCAGGAGGAATCCAGAAGTTTTGTAAATAGTATTACAGTAGCCTTTGGAGGTTTCTTTGAAAAATTGAAGACACTTAGTTCTTGGTATAGTCTAGTTGTATTATCACTGTTGAGTTACCAAATGAAGTCAAAATCAAAATTATGTTCTAAGCGCTCGCCAAATACCGCGGTTCCCTAGTTTCGGTGATTTTAAGAGAGACTCCTCCGGTTTCCTCCAGATATAACGTGCCGATCGGGTGAGGTCACCGAATTTCCCCATTACTTTGCAGGTTAACCTCGAAATAAACGGCATGACGTGCGCGAGCTGCGTACACAAGATCGAAAGCAACGTTTCGAAGATGGCGGGCGTGATGAGCGCGCGGGTCGCCCTCACTACGCACCAGGGTAAATTCAAATACGACCCGGAGGTTACAGGCCCTAGAACCATCATACAGGCCATCAACGAGTACGTTTTTGTGTTTCATTCTTTTCTGTTCTTGTCTATGCTCTGTGTCTAAATTTGCAATGAAAGGGGTCGTTAAAAAGGGTGCATACAATGGAAAGACGTAAGATGCCAGCAAGATGTCAACAAGATGATGGCAAAATTAGTTTTTTTTTTATAGTTTAGCCAATAAATCAAACACCAGTAAAATACATTTTGACAATGACAACATGAAAATTTGTGGCAGTAACAATATTTTTATTAAAGCTAAGTGTGCTTTATTCAACTGAAGAAAAAGTTACGTTAATTAAGTGGTATTATGCAGGAAACAGTCTTGGAGCAGTATCTGAATTTTTTTCAGTTTATTACATAAATTGGTAGTTTACAAGTTATGGCCAAATTTTTGTAACCACTCGTGTTTTTTATTTTAAATCTAACTAAACCTATGTCATATCCTATTCTAAGTTTTTTTTTTAAACATTTGTTACTTAAATTCAATATAAAATCAACAATTAATGCAAGTAATAAGTTTTATTTCTAAGTAGAAAATATTTTCTACGTAATCTCCACTTTTGGAAATACAAGTAGTATATATGATTTGAATTTTAGTTATTTTTAACCGCGTCTGGTTGAGTTTTTTTACCTCTTGCTGAATTCTCATTTTTAAGTCTTAAAGACCTATTTTTATTCACGTCATTTTTTAAAACAGCCCTGTAAAAAAGTCCAAGGGTGTCACGTTAGGGTTTCTCGCCGAACAATCCATGGCACTGTGGTGTGGTATGGCGCACTATTTTGCTGAAAAACATAGTACATATATAGGTCTCCAATCAATTTAAATATCTCTCACAGTCTTAAAATGAATATTGATACAATTTCTTAATTTATTTACACGATTTCCATTTGAGATACACCAGAAATGATTTTTTTTTCTGTTTAACATACCAGCCGTATTGATTGATTAGATTTTTTTTAATGTCACTTTCAAAATAGTGATCCATCATAAAGAGACAATAAAAAAGTCCTGATTGAAAGTCCTTTTGGGCTAATTTCTGAACTGTCAAAACTAACCAAAACTAATATCCGGCAGATCTCATGATGCGAATTTTCATTGTTTTCATTCAAATACAGCAGAACTTCTAATTACTTCTCTGCTGTTAGGACTTCACGATTGAGATCGCGAACGATTCGTGAAAAAATATGTTTTATGGGTACCCTTCTGGCAGGAGGATAAAACAACATATATTCAAATGCTGGACTATTATTATTTATTAACATTTATGGTGATCTCTTGAACACTGCAAAGAGTCTTTTTTTCTTAAAAAAAAAGTTGGTAACAACTAAATGTCAAATAAAAACTGTATATATCTTGCAAATAGGAAGCGGTTAGAAATGCTATTGTGGAGATTAAAACAATACTACACGTTTACGGGGCTTGAATTACTTGTCGATTTTATGTTGAATTTAAGTAAATAATGTTTGAAATAAAACTTAGTTGGAATAGGATATTATACAGGGTGTATAATGTGGTAAAATAGTGGTAGTGAGTCATGTAACAAAAATTCGAAATCGTAATATTTTCCGAGTTATAGCTTGTCAAAATTCAGTGAGCTTAATTTTCAATGGTATTTTACACACAGCCCTGATTTAGTAAAATTCGTCGTTACAAAATAAAAATGTTTCAGAAATCTGTCACTAGATGGCACTTTACGTAGAACATTTTTGTTATTTTCCTTGTATTTTATTTTTTTAGTCTGATATTGTAAAATAGAACAGATTGCCTTAAGCAGAATCACAAATTCTCAAAAATTGTTAATCTTATTTTAAGTCGATAAGTGTTTCGTTTAGCCACAAATGAACTTCTAATTTACAGAGGTGATACTGGATATCGCGATATACATTTCCGTTACGGAAAAGCAAGTGGAATGCATTTTCGAAAATAAAAAAAAATAATGCTCGAGAATTAAACGGTATACAACGCTAATTACAATTCATTTTCAAAATGTCCACCGTTGATTTCTAAACATTTTCGTATACATTTTGAAAAATCCTGTCGAACACGAAAAAATACGCCTAGCCTATTTCTAATGATTTCGCAACTGTTTATTATTTTTGTCGTAGATCATAGGTATGTGTTATAGGTGTTTCGTGCCCCCAAAAAAGAAGTCTATTGGATTAAGGTCTGGTGAGCGAGGCGGTCAAGCTAGAGGTCCGCCCGACATATCCATCGATGTTCAAATGCCTGATTTAAATACCTTCGTACAGCAAATGTAAAATGGGGTGGAGCGCCATCGTGCATTAACCACATTTTTTGTCTCCACTGCAAGGTCTCTTTGTCTCCAGCCAAGGTGGTAGTTCCTCTTGAAGAAATTGCAAATACACATCCCCATTAAGCAATCCGTTAAAAATATGAGGTCCTATAAGATTATCTCCTATAATCCCGGTCCATACATGTAAAGAAAACCGGCGCTGATGTTTTCCTTCAATTTTTGCATGGATTTTCAATATTCCACTGATGCATATTTCGAAAATTTACAATTCCATTACGATTGAACGCAGCCTCGTCAATGAACAAAATGTCATTTAAAAAATGCGGGTAATTTTGAATTTTTCCTAAAATTTGTTTGCTTAAAACTACTCTGAATTGCTCATCACCCTCATACAGTGCTTTGAATATAAAAAGGCCGAAGTATTTTGAAGTACCCTTTCTTCTCTTGCAGCCGTTCTTTTTTACCTTGGTCTCCCTTTATTCATATTATCAGGTTTGAATGATCCTCTTTCACCAAATCTTCTGTGTATGTTGATGAATGTTTTAGCAGATGGAAAATTTCAATTGGGATAAACTTCGATATAAAGCCGTCGTGTCGTGCTTTCCCATTCTGCATCTCCATTTGCTCTTCCGTAGTAAAAATGCATATTGCGATATTCAGTATTTGAATATTCTCGATGGACCATCACAGTAGCAGTTGGATAATAAGCTCTTTTAATAGAAACTAATTTTTAACGGATTGTCACAATGACTTTTTCAAATTTCATTAAGTTCTATTAGGTAAAATCAGATTTACAGGTAAAATTCGAGCCGAGAATAAAAAATTTGTCTTATCGGCTTAGAACAAGAGTAACAATTTTTGAGGATTTGCGATTCTGCTTAAGGCAATCTGTTTTATTTTGCAATATCAATCTAAATAAGTAAAATACAGGAAAAATTTAAAAAAATGTTCAAGGTAAAAAGTGTGCTCTAGTGACAGATTTCTGAAACAATTTTATTTTGTAATTATGACTTTTACTAAATCAAGGCTGTGTGTGAAATACCAGCTTATTCCCTCCACTGCGTTAAAAATAAAATAAAAAAATGATTTTTGACAAGCTATAACTCGGAAAATATTATGATTTCGAATTTTTTTACATGACTTACTACCATTATTTTACCAAGTTGAATCTATCCTCCAAGTTTCCGAACTCAATTTCCGAACACCCTGTATAGGTTGTTGCTATTATGGCATGAACTTAAACGGAACGTTGCGGTGGACCGTCACGTCCGCATTTAATAACTGTCGAAATCGCTATTCTATTATCGACATACATCGTCATTTCGCTCTAGCTTGGGATTCGAGGCGAAGCTGTACTCAAGCGACGGTAGCGACCACCGGCTGCGGCAGAGGGACGAAATAAAGAAATGGAAGCGCAGTTTCCTGTTCTCGTTGGCGTTCGGCGTCCCGTGCATGGCGGTGATGATGTATTTCATGACGGTCATGTCTGCCGGTCACATGTCACACGAGGACATGTGCTGCGTCGTACCCGGTAAGCCTTTTACCGAACTTAAAATAAGAAGGGAATGTCTGAGGTCCGTCTCCAACGTTTTTTCTCAACGATAACGTGTACAGGGTAGCCCGTTTATGAGGGACCTATACCTTATCTCGATACCTACGGTGGTTATAAAAAAAATTTAGATACACTTGTTTCTATTAAAATGACCTTTATTTTTTTTATTTTCCTAATCGTCACTTTTTTATATGGTAAAACGAAGTTACATTTTTTTAAATAGAACACCCTACATTTTATTGCATTTTTATATAGTCCGTTCAAAGACAAATTCAACGATATATATATATATATATATATATATATATATATATATATATATATATATATATATATATATATATATATATATATATATATATATATATATATATATATATATATATATATATTTAGAGTATGGGTCTGTGATGCACCGTTTCGAATTTATTAGCGATCATCTTCAGAATTCCGGTAATGTTCCATCATTGTTGGGATGCTTATTAACTTTTTAAACTTTTTTCCACCTATTATTTTTACGAAAATGATGCTTTTCTTTAGGTAATGATCAAATTTAAAATATTTTTTTAAAAGCCAAATGATACTTATCTCAATTTACTTAAATGATGAATTAATTAATATCGTTAGAGTTTCGAATAGCCACTTTAATAGAAATTTCAATTATATAGCATTGTGCGTGTCTCTGACTTACCGTTTTGACTTAATTGGCAGATAAAATTAAAAACTGGGTATAAGTTTTAAATTAGCCCCATATCAACTTGTTCACAACCGTATTAGAGCATTGTTAAGAAGCCATATTAGAAACAGAATATTAAGCTTTGCACAATGTTGCCAAATTTAGCAAATTCTACGTTTAAATGTCTACGTGAATGATTAAAAAATTTAACAATAACTACTAATGCATATTACTTACAAAGTAAAATTAATTAAATTAGTTTTTCAATATGTCCGTCGTTTTGAAGAATACAAGTAGTATATGCTATTTTTGAATGGTATATGGCAAAAACGAATGATTGTAGCACTTCGATGATAAGGGGCGCCACCTTGCTGCCAAATTAAATTTGGATGCTCTCTTTGGGGAAATTAATAAGTTTAGATATCCTACGGATGTTAAGTTTTGTTGGTAAAATATGGGTCCTAAAATTGTAGATCTACAGATTGCGCACCATACTGTCACGGATCTTTTTGTATTAAATAACACCGCAAAGGTTGTAAATATTTTATGGTTATGTTATTTAAAAAAACGCCTATCCATCATTATGTTGGAAAATTCGAGTCTGAAATTAAAAAATGTTTCTTGTAGTTTTGGTACTGGTGTGAATTTAAAATGGCTTATAACTGTTAATTTTTAAACATGTTTGAAGTGTGGTTCGTCTTACGCCTACATCTGAAGCGACAAGGCGGGTGGAGGTCTCTGGAGTATTTGTTCGAAACTGCTCGTATATTTTGGCAAATCATTTTTCCTGACAATGGCTTATGGGGAAATTTGAGAGCAAAAGTCGGACTTTTGTTATTGGTGATGTAACATTTTAATAGGTCAACTTTTTTCTCCTTCGTATACATTATACAAAAGAGACTGAACAAAAATGCAATTTAATAAAAGTTCGAAAAAATACGCTTAAAATATTTTAATACACTGATAGCTGTTAAAGAATCAGAGAACATACAACTACTATTGTTCTCAAAGCTACTGCCATGATTATATCAATAAGGTCATAATGTGGTCTATATTATTAAGAATATGAATATTTTTTGAAAGTTTTTCTTCAATTATGAATGTAAAATAATTTATGTATTATTGGAAAATAATTGCCAATTAAGCCAAAACTGTAAGTGAGAGAGCCGTGTTATATGCTTAAATTTGTTATGAAAGTGGCTATTCGAAAATCCAATAATATACAGGGTGTTCCATTTAGGAAAATTGAGAAAAGTATCATTTTGCGAAACGTGGCAACACCGGGGTATTTTAAGAAAATATTTTAAATTTGATCATTGGCTAAAGAAAAACATTATTTTCGTAATAATAATAGATGAAAAAAAGTTTAAAAAGTTAATGTGCAACCCAACAATGATGGTTTAAACATAACCCGAATTCTGAAAATGATCGCAAATAAGTCTTTCTTTCTTTTCCGTGTCCAGGATCACCATTATGAATAAAGTATTATTCTAAATATTTCGCTCCCAAAATTTGGCCACCTGAAGGGCCTTGTCGTTGCATTTGAGGAGGTCGTCATGAGAGCAATTTGTGCCAAGCAACCCGCACTGCAACAGATGATTGTAGTTCTGTTCCAAGCCGCAGTCACAGGTAGCATTGCCCTGAATGTAACCCCAGCGTAGCAGGTTTGTTTTGCATCTTGTGACTCCTGTGCGTAGCCGATTTAAAGACTTCCAGGTTGCGAAGGGGAGTTCGTCGCCACAGCTTATACTTTCTTTCAGATCTAAGAGCGGATTTTGCACTTTCTCCTGCCATAGATTTAACCTTCGTTGTTCAGGTGTGGTAGTGAGAGGTACTGTTGAATGGATAAAACTCCTCCTTGACTTGAGCCTTGCTGCTACTGGCTGGTGGTGGAACAGAGGATGCCTTGGGTCACTGATTTGCTTTTTCCGTTCTATTTCTGCCGCCACAGTTCTTCGGATGGGTGGCGGCGCTATTCCTATAATTGGGAAAATCTTTTCAGCAGGCGTAGGTTTGAGGCAGCCTGAGATTATTCTCCCAGTCTCATTAACTGCAGTGTCAACATGCCTGGAATGTACATAATTTGCCCAAACTGGGGCAGCGTATTCTGCTGTGAAGAGGCAGAGTGCAGCAGCTGAGGTTCGCAGGACACCAGGTTTAGCCCCCCATCTTGTACTTGTCAATTTGCGTATAATGTTGTTTCTAGCAGCCACCTTCATCTTCGTATCCTGGCAGTGTGCTCTGTATGACAGCGTTCGATCCAGTTTGACACCAAGGTACTTAGGCCAGTCACAGTGCTCAAGTTCTTGTTGCATCCAATTTATTTTCAATTTCCTGTTGGCTTCTTTATTTCGAAGATGGAAAGCGCACACCTGAGTCTTAGATGGATTGGGTTTAAGGTTATTCTGTTCATAATACAAACCAAGGTTTCCAAGGTACTGGTTAAGCACTTCCTCCACCTTCCCAAAGGTTTTCCCCTGTACAGCCACCGCTGTGTCATCAGCATATATGAAACGTCTCACCTTGGAACTATTTGGCTGATCATTCGTGTAAATGTTATATAATAAGGGTGCAAGAACGCTTCCCTGTGCCAAGCCGTTCTTCTGTTGTCTCCATCGGCTATTTTTCCCCTGCAACGTTACATAGAATCTTCTATTCTGGAGAGTGCATTCGATAAACTTTGTGAGCCTGTAATCTTTAGTGAGATTATATAATTTGTGCCTCAATTTTCTATGATTGATGGTATCATAAGCTGCACTTAAATCAATGAATGCAATTCCTGTCACCTGGCCCCTCTCATACCCATCCTCTATGTGCTGTGTCAGGTTGAGGATTTGCCCACAGCATGATCTGCCAGGTCTAAAGCCAGCCTGCTCCGCGATCAAGGACTGATCGATTTTCTCAGAGATCCTGTTGAATATCATCCTCTCCATGCACTTGAAAAGATGACATAGTAGAGAGACAGGCCTATAGTTTTTGCAGTTGTTTGGCTCTTTCCCAGGTTTCAGGAGTGCTATCACTCGAGCTCTCCTCCACTCTTTGGGAATTTGCATAGTGTCGACACAGTTATTGATAAGATTGAGCAGCCATGTTCTTGTCTTTGGTCCAAACTGTTTGATTTGCTCAGTTCTTAGGTCATCAACACCTGCTGCCTTATGCTCCTTCATCTGTTTGATAGCCCCTTGTAGCTCTTGCGATGTGAATGGCGTATCTAAGGAGTGGTTTTCACTCTCCAGCTCTCGTTCAATCTCTATTCTCCTGTTTTTCCCTGCAGTTTTGCCATTTAGGAGGAGCTGGTGGGCAATCTGATTGGCTGTGACATCACCCATGCTTGATTTCTTTGTTGTTGGATCATTGCTTAGATTCTTTAGCAGCTTCCAGGCTCGACGACTGTTTCTCTTCATATCCAACTGTTCAAGGAGGTTGCACCATCTTTCCTTTCTAGATTCTGCTATGAGAGACAGTAGCTGTTCGCCAGTGCTTACAGTCTCATCTGAGAAGGGGTCCTCATCGAATAGTTTTTCATAGCTATTGAGGGCAGCTAGAGAGTTATGAACGAGGCCAGCAATATAGTTTACTTGACACCCTCTTGGAATGTGTTTCCTGGATATTTGCTTTACAATATTCACAAAAGCTCCATAAGATCTAGGTATTGGTTCTAACTTTGTGATCTCTCTGTCCAAATCTTGAACAAACATGTCCCATTTTGCTTTTTTGAAGTTCTGCTCTGCCCATAGCTCGAGGGCTTCACCATCGACATCTGTTGTTCGATATCCCCATGTGACACTGTGACAGTTGAAATCTCCTATGACTAACTTGGCCTTCTGATTTTCGAAGTTTCCGGGCTTGACAAATTCAAAGGTTGTGTTTGGTGGCTTGTACACTGAAGTGACTGTACATGATTCAAGCTCTATGGTTAAAATCTCCACATCATTGTTGCAGGTGCAGGCAGTAGAGCGAATGACAAGGTCAGGCCTTGCAAAAATCGCGCTTCCATATTGACTGTGGGGCCTTTCAAGAACTAGCTCCATTCCGGCTATCTTTGGTCTATGACTAGTAGGACCTCTATGGGTTTCTTGTAGGGCTAAAATATCACAGTTTCGCTGCTTGCACATGTCCGCTATTAAAATTTCTTTATTTATAGATAGTCCCTCAATATTCAGTGAGGTTGTCACAAGTGCTGGCCTTGAAGAAGGCCGATTGGTTTTTTCTCCGTTTCTTCTCATTCTATGGTGAACTGGTGTTAGAAGGATTAGCCGACTAAGTCGTTGCCCAGGGGACGCCCGATTGTTTCTTCGTGTATAGCAGTTGACTGCAAACAATCTTCGTGGAGGCTCCTTCTTTGTCCCCCCGCAAATAAGTTCGAAACGGTGCATCACAGACCCATAGGCATATATATCGTTGAATTTGTCTTTGAAAGGACTATCCAAAAATGCAATAAAATGGATGGCTCTTTAAAAAAATATAACTTTTTTTTACCGCCTGTATATAAAAAAGTGACCATTAGGAAAATAAAAAAAAATCATTTTAATAGAAACAACTTTTGTATTTAATTTTTTTTTGTAACGCCATAGGTTTCGAGATAAGGGGCCATGCTGTACAGTACAACACACGATAAATGGCCATGACTGTAAAAACTCCATTGGCGGTTTTATCTGGTCATAGGTGAATTTGAGTGAGCGGTTGGTGATTTTGAATATTTTGTTGGACTGCGTATATACAGCGCCCGCCTAAATGATAAGATCCACCTTTTATTTTTTGTACCGTTGTATATAGCAGTAATTTTACGAAAATATTAAGAAATGCATTTTGTTTCGAAAATAAAAAGTGGAGGGTAATATGGGATGGACGTGTCATGCACAAAAATATTTAAATACTTACATATGTAAGGGCGATCTCGATTTTTTTAATATTGAATCTTGTGGAAATATCTTGTCTGTCGATAACTTTAACATTTAAATTCAGAACATAAGACAGACAAAAGGTTTATTATGTAGGAAACGCAAAAATCGCAAAACAAAAACATCTTTTTCTGCACTGGTACAAGCTTCGCGAGGCCATTAGTTGCAGATTGCACATAGGCACTTTATACTGGTCATTGCAAAAACAAAACATAGAAAACTCAAGAAAATAACCTAATCCACCTTTTACATACCTATAAAAATAAAACAAATAAAAAAACAGTAACAGAAAAATATATATATAGGAACTAAAGACTAAACATACCCAAAACTAAGAAAACATTTCTTCACTTAAAAACTAAATAAAATTTTGGCATTAACAAAAAAAAAATTAAACTCATCATCTTCCAGCCAGCGTCTTCGCAAACTGGGCACATATAAAATGAATCTGAATTACAAGGTCTGCATATCCACTTCTTGCATCGAACACATTCAATCCATTGTCTGATCTTCGCTTGTTCCTCTCATTTCATTGAAAAACTACCAATGATGAATCAGGAATTCGTTCAGTTTCTTCCAAGTTTCCTGACTTCATCGACATTCACTGGGTACAGTCCGATTGTTCTAAATCCGGATATTAAATTTGTATTATATACTGATTATACTGACTCAGAATAGTTTCGCACTTGTTCTATCCTACGGGAACAATAACTCTTCGCACCAGGATCATCAGCGTTATTAGTTGTCTGGTAATTGTACAAGTTTTTATTATCATCACCTAAGACTTCCTTTATGTTCTCACTAAAAAAACTGAATAATGCGAATATTCTAATTTGAATATGTGAGGACGATCGCGATTTTTTAACATTTTGTTTCTTCAGAAAATTTTCGACAATAATTGTCTTTGAATTCACGTACTGTTTTGCGTAGTTTATTTAATAATTTTTTGACTACTGCGCGAATGTCACACTTGGTTAAAGGGAAACCCCACATTGCCACTTATAATAAAGTGTTACGAATCACTTCCTCTTCCTGTTCACCGCTTACCTTATTACGAAGTGTTATACGAGGAATTTTGTAAACTAATGCTGCCCTTTGGACAGGCATTAATAGCTTCAAGTGCTCATCTTAAGTCTTCGTGACGTCTTACCATTTTTAAATACTTGGTATCTGTAAACTGATGTTAACATAAAATTAAAAGAAAGGAAAATAAAAAAAAAGGTTAAGTTCAATTTGAGCTTAGGTAAGCTTTGCATATAGTCCAGATTATGTTCCGCTTAAAATAAAAATGGCATATTCTCAATATCTTAAGTTTCTTTTAATAAAATAAAATGCTTCTTTTCAGTATTTCAGATTTTTTAAACAAAACGCTTTATCTTAAAATTTTAGATATTTATGTAGCTTGGAATAAGCATATACCTAGTTATTTTTAAATATAAAGTTACTCTGTTTAAATAAGCATAATTTTATATTGAATTTTATAATTTTACATTAAATTCCATCTAACAAGTTATACCTGTTTTGTTTGATCTTATCCCAGTTTAATATGGAGAGGATGGTAATTTTACCATAAAAATGGAGATATGTTTAAAGTAAATTTGTCTATAATTTTGATTAGATCATTCCGCCAACTGAAAATTTTTAATCTGGGAGATTGTAAAACATATGCAAAAAATATAAATAGCTTCACGGCTTATCTTTTTACTAAAACATGTTATTTATTGACAAATGATTTTTGTAGAGGTGTTACTAACGATACATTAATAATTCTGAGAAAAATGAATTTCTAGCATCGTTAAAGATCAGTGATAAACCACACATTTTATTAAGAAGGTAAGCCGAAGCAGATGTTTATATTATTTGCATTAATTTTATCTATCCAGAAATAGTATTCCTATTATTATATACAGATAATTTTTGTGATCCAGAATGCAGATTTAATCTAACATGTTACTTTAAAATTACTTCTGGATGAAGAAAAAAATCCATTACTGACCAACTTTTTCTTTTAATCTTTAAAATAGAAGGGATAAAAGAAAACATTTTTAGTACCTTGTAATTTGTCTAGGCAATTTTTCCTATTGTAAATTTTCTTTTAGTGTTTGGTTATCTGCTTCTCCTTATAGTAAATCTTAGAAAATAAGACAATGAAGTTTAACCCTTTTTATTAACAAATGATACAACATTTTTAAAAAAATGTTCTGCAGAAGAAGTGTGTAAAGAACTACAGTTAATCTAAACAAACTTATGGCACATATCCTAGCCTTAAATATATTAAAAGTATAAACAAAAGCAACTACTTCAATATTGTGTTACGCCATTTTTTTGGTCTGCATCCAGTTTTGTAAAAATAGAAGGATCCATAAACCACATACCAAATTTTGGTACTGTATCCAAAAAGCCATATATATTACATACAAATAATTTTCATTATTATTTATCAGTTCTCTGGCTTATAGCCTGCACAAGAATTTGCCCCCAGTCGGCACAAATTTCTCAAAATATAGATGTGGATGTATTTGGAAAAAACCGTATAATATACTTAAAAAATGTAGGTAGTAAATGTAGTAATAATAGTGTTCTAAATACATACCTTTGAATACTATTACAAAGGACTCTGGGAGTCCCCAACATTTCAATGTCCTCTATACTTGTTTCGCAACTCTTACTGCTCAACATCGGTAAAACCTGAAACTGCACACCAATTGTTACTCGAACAAAACAGTATTGCACGATATTTTAAAAGCATTTTCAAATTGAGGATGTGAAACTATTACATCTAGGATATCATAATTTTAAGACAATTATTTTATAGACTTGTATTTTCTAACACTGAGAATACGCGCATAACCATATTCTCAAATCCAAAGTATGTTACGTTGTGTCATTTTCACTTGAATATTAGGTCGTTTAAATCAAAAAGTAGTACGTTTTCAAAATAGGTATTTTGTATCGCCTTATAAAATTATATATCATCATTTTATGGAGGCAAACACTTTCCAAATGAAGAGATGATGCAATCTCAGAAGTACAATTTGTAATATTTGCTACAATGAAAAATATATCTTGAAAACATTCATTTTTCAAGCATATTGAAATTCTTAATTAAGGAATACTTAAATTTAAATTGAGTAGAAAATAACGAAGATATACGTAATCTACAATTAAGAATTTGGTTTTTCTGTGTTGTAGCCCCGTTTGACGGTAACTTTTTTTATAAATTCATATATTTTTTTTTATGCTACCTGGTTCAGGTTTGTCGATGGAGAACCTGTTAATGTTTCTGTTGTCGACGCCCGTACTGGTTCTCGGCGGTCGCCACTTCTTTGTTCAAGCGTACAAAGCGATCCGACACCGCACCACCAACATGGATGTGCTGATCGCGATGGCGACGTCGATCAGTTACACTTATTCGCTGCTCGTCGTGTTGGCGGCCATGATCATGCGTCACACCACCTCGCCGCAGACGTTTTTCGACACGCCGCCCATGTTACTGGTGTTCATAAGTTTAGGTAGGTGCGCTGTTGGTTGTAAGTGATGCGGCAATGCCGCAAGTCGGGTCAAGAGGTTTATTATAGTCGGTACGATTTTTGATGGCTTAGGCGGTCCAGACATAATTGTTCATCTTACTTCAACGGATATTATTCCGCCTTAAATGTCTATGTGATCAATGCAAGACAGCCGTCACCAACAATCACGATTATATTACTTGGGAGTAAGAGAGACAGAATTAATTGGACTTGACATTTATTAATTTAACCGGTACGCCCATTCTCGGAGATGAATTCGTGTATTTTCTATGTAATAATAGATCGGAGTATTCCTTAATAATATGCGAATATTTAAGTAGGTGAATCTGCATGAAAATATTTTGATAGTTTGTGAAATAAACTATTGTCCATGCAATAAACATTGAAATTACCAAAAAAATCGAAAAATTAAAAAAAAAATCATACCGCATAATTCCATAATTTATATTATATATATATATATATATATATATATATATATATATATATATATATATATATATATATATATATATATATATATATATATATATATATATATATATATTTTTTATAACTAAGTTTTTTTAAAATTATTATTATCATTATTGTTACTATATATGAAATGATACAGAGTTAAATCCCAATAAAAGTGTTAAATACATTACTAATTGAAAAAAATGTTTTTTAAAATTAGAAAAAACATTTTTTGACGACCACACCCGGTATAATATATCTTCGACATAGCTAGATCAAAGCATTAATAACTTAAGTAACTTCTATGAATCCATAATAAAAAATCGCAATTTTAGTTTTCAAGAATTGTTTCCCCGCAAAAAAAAAATTAAAAGTTAATTTTTCTCAAAAACTACTCAAAATTTCGTATACTATGTCTTGACAAAAAATACGCAAAATTAAGAGAGCAATTAAAATTTTTAAAAACATTCATAGTATTCCATTAAAAAAATAAAGTTAGTCGTTGTCCTGGAACAACTTAATATATATAAAAATACTATAAATAAAATTGATGCTTACGGTCAACACTTTTTGTTAATTTTTCAAAGAAACTTCCACAGGCTACTGTAATATTTTTACAAAACTTTTGGATTCCCCTGCGTCGGTTTTTGCTGAGTTGAAATTGCTGACATTTCGCCAATCATCCTGTTGGCTTCTTCAGAGCTTGACTGAAACTGGCTCGTATTTTACTCTGTACCTGCTTATATATTGTTTGAGGGGAGCGCTAATGACACTCTCCGATCACTGATTCTCAAATTGGTGACAGGTAGAGACCCGAGTCGCGGTTAAGATTGTTAGGTTGTTTATAGATTTCTATAGACTCTCGGATTTTTCATTGGTAGAAGAGCAAGAATTTTAGTTTTATCGAATAAAATTTTATGTCCGGTTTCATGAGTGTGTTCGGCAACAGCTGATGAGTTTGTCTTAGTCGTATCACTAGCCCCAGTCATCGCGAATATATTTATGGAAGCCTTTGAGAAGAAAGCTCTCGACACCTTTCATCTAAAACCCAAATTATGGAAACGCTACGTCGATGATACTTTTGTTATTTGGCCTCATGGCTAAGAAGGCCTAGTAGATTTTCTTAGACATTTAAACTTGGTACACCCTAACATACGTTTTACCATTGGGTTGGAAGCTAATAATAACCTGCCTAGACCTAACATTAGGTCATTGCGTTTACAGAAAACCTACGCACACAGACAGATACCTTAATGCATGGTCACATTACCATCCGGCCCAAAAATCATCGGTTATCAACTCTGTTGTTTACAGAGCCGTAAAACCATCTCAGCCCGAGTCACTGAAAATAGAATTAAAACACCTTACCTCTGCTCTTCTCTCCAATAATTTCCACATAAAAGATATTAAGCGTTCCATCAAAAAATATACTTCACCACAACCTTCCAATAGCAATGAGGCCAAAAGCAATCCTACACTTGCCACTGTGGTCCTTCCATACATTCAAAACATCACTGACCACATATCAAAAGTTCTAAAGAAGTATAACATCAAAACCAGATTTACCACTTGTCCAAAAATCTCTCAACATCTTCGATCCGTCAAGGACAAAATTCAATTTGAGATGCCAGGAGTTTACAACATTCCATGCATATGCGGCAAAGAATACATTGGAGAGACCGGACGAAAAACATCAACTAGGCTCAAAGAACACGAAAGAGCCTTACGACTAAGACAAATAAACTCATCAGGTGTTGCCGAACACACTCATGAAACCGGACATAAAATTTTATTCGATAATACTAAAATTCTTGCATGTAATCAGCTCTTCTACCAACGAAAAATCCGAGAGTCTATAGAAATCTATAAACAACCTAACAATCTTAACCGCGACTTAGGTCTCTACCTGTCACCAATTTGGGAATCAGTCATCCGAGACGGTGTTTATACACTTCATTAGCGCCCCCCTCAAACAATATAAAAGCAGGTTCAGAGTAAAATACGAGCCAGTTTCAGTCAAGCTCTGAAGAAGCTAACAGGACGATTGCCGAGACGTCAGCAATTTCGACTCAGCAAAAACCGACGCAGGAGGAATCCAGAAGTTTTGTAAAAAGTAACACTCTTTGTATTTAACTATTTTCCTCGGTGTCGTGCTTATTGAGATAAGGTATATGAGCTTCTCTTAAAGGATCACTCTGTAAATTGTCTTAGTGGATTTTTGGAAATCCATAAACATGCGGTGGTTTACTATGGTGCGGAGTTAACGAAGTTCTAATATTGTTCGGAACATAGCGTCCGTGCTAAATAAATTCTTCATTCAATCGTCCTATTATGGACACTAGCAAGTCATCTTTATTTACCATTAACAAATGTCTTCTCGATTTTGTGATCGTATCCATCCATTCATAATGACGGTGGCGTTGCCTTTGTCCGCTTTGATGCTACTTGTTCTTCTTTGGTCGAATTCGTTTTCTTCTCTTTCCCAAAACAGTTCTAACTTTCCATCGCACCTCATTTGTTTTCGGTCTTTCCATGGAACTTGTAATATGTAACCGAGTCGTCTATCGAGGAGCAAGAGCGAAGTTAACTCCTTCGCTCAATATTTGTTTTATGGAAAAGGTTCCTCCAACGTTGAACGTTTCATCTCTTGGTTGTTTGTTTTTTCAAATCCGAGAAGCTTCGTCTCGTGATTTCTCTGAAGTCCTCTAATTTTGAAACCTGTTCTATCGGTCTTCTGGAATGTAAGTAAGTGATCTTTCTCCCAAGTCAGTTCTTTTATTTTTTCAAACTTTTAAAAGAACCGATTTCTTTGCTCGACTAGCATTTTCCAAGATGCTCTAGTTCCTTGGATTGATGAAGTGGAGTGGAGAAAATAGAGGCAATGGAAATTTTACAATCTCTTAGCATTTCTATCACCTTCAAACAAGTGTTCACTAACATCGTGCTGAGCCGGTGAAAGGTTCAAAGGTAACATGTAAACATTGAGTTTTGAAGTAAAACGGGCACACGCGTTTATTGTTAGCAGCGCGGAGATTAATTTCCCGAATTAGTTTAATATCCCTCGTATTTTTTTTTTATTAAGGTAGATGGCTCGAGAGCATAGCGAAAGGCAAAACTTCGGAGGCGTTGAGCAGATTGCTGTCGCTGAAGGCGACCGACGCCGTGATAGTGACGTTGGGCGCGAAAGGCGAGGTCGTTACCGAAGAGACTGTCAATGTGGACCTGGTGCAAAGGGGCGATCACCTGAAGGTGATACCGGGGGCCAAAGTTCCAGTCGACGGAAAAGTACTGCAGGTACGATCATTTGCATTAACTTTTGAGTATAACTGAGCAAACAACGTCACAAAGTTTTTCAAAGAAACTTCCACGGTCTACTGTAATACTAAATACAAATCTTCTGGATTCCTCGTGCCTCGGTTGTTTATAAATCAGACTTGCTGGCATTTCGACAATCATCCTGTTGGCTTCTTCAGAGCTAAACTGAAACTGGCTCGCATTCTACTATCTAGCTACTTAAATATTGTTTGAGGGGGGAGGAGTTAAAAGAGGGGCATGAACATCGTCTCAGATGACTGATTATCATATTGGTGCAGTTGAGATTGTTTAGTTGCTTATAGATTTTTATAGACTCTCGGATTTTTCGTTGGTAGAAGAGTTGATTACATGCAAGAATTTTAGTTTTTCGAATAAAATTTCACGTCCGGTTTCGTGATTGTGTTCGGCAACTGCTGATGAGTTTATTTCGTGGTCTTAAGTCTCTTTCATATTCTTTGAGTCTAGTTGATATTTTTCGACCGGTCTCTTCAACCTGTTCTCTGCCGCATATCATGCGTATCTCAAACGGAACTTTGTCTTTGACAAGTGTTAAAACAGGTTTTGACGTTCTTAAAAACTTGATATGTGGTCAGTGATGTTTTCAATGTAAGGAAGGACAAGTGTGGGATTGCTTTTGGACTTGGTAAGTTGCGGTCAAGTCTGTTTTGTGATGGAACGCTTAATATGGAAAGGTGTTTCAATTCTGGGTTCAGTGACCCTCGTTGAGTCACTGAGTCACATACAGTGCAACAGTAAAGAGTTAGATCACCGAGTGAAACTGGTAATATTACTCTGTACATTGACTTTTTTGTTAGGTTATAGAGACGTTATTTCTAATTCAAAAATTCACATTCAGAATTTTGAAAAACTCATGTCAGCACTAGTGAAGCCAACTGCCAAACACTGTGGTAAATGTCTCATCTGACTAACTGTGTGAGACGGAAAAATCTATTCTTGCAATTTCCAATTTTATCTTTGCATCAAGTATTATCCCAAAAGAGGGAATCATTTCTAATATCGAGTCACTCCTAAACAAACTATCATATCAAATAGCTAATAAAATTCGATTCGCTACCGCAAGAATCCTTTAAAAATCCAAGTCTTCCAAAACTAATATTCCAAAGCCTAAACGCATTTCTCTAAAATATCTAAAATTTCATCCCGACATCGTAGTTATAAAAGTTGGTAAGGAAAATGCCACGGTGATCATAAACACAAGTGAATTATTAGGAAAAAATTGAAGACATTCCTACAGACCGATCTTATCGTCATCTATGGAACGCAACTTTAAATCTGTTATTAAGGCTTCTTCTCTATTAGAATCTAGGAAGAAGTCTGTCACCTCTCATTGCTCTAAAATTCCTTGTCTCAAAGAACTCCCTAAGATTTGCAAACCAGGATTTACCCCTTCAACCTATTGTCAGCACCATTCTCCAACAGCAACAGCAAAATTTTTAGCTTCTATATTAAAACCCTTTACAGGGAAATCTGATAGTTTTGTACTTGTCTGAAACATATATTTCTTGTAGCTGCCAAATTTATGAACAAACGTCGGGAAAAGCTATGGGTTCTCCATTATCGTCATTGGGAATATATTTATGGAAGCCTTGGAGAAGAAGGCCCTCGACCTTCCTAAAGCCAAAATTATGGAAATGCTACTTTGATGATATTTGGTCTCATGGTCAAGAATGCCTCCGGGGTTTCCTTAGCCATTTGAACATACCTTTTGCCATTGAATTAGAAACTAATAATAATTCCTTATTCTTAGAAATTCTTATCAATAGAAAATCAGACCCAACATTTGGTAATTCTGTTGTTTACAGAGGCGTAAAATTATCTCAACCCGAGTCACTGAACCTAGAATTAAAACACCTCCCCTAGCTCTTCTCTTTAATAATTTACACAGCGTTCCATTGCAAAATAGACTTGCCACTGTTGTCTTTCGTTACATTCAAAACATTACTTACTGGCCACATATCAAAGGTTCTTAAGAAATATAACGTCAAAACCCGATTTACCACTTGTCCAAAAATGTCTCAACATCTGAGGTCCTTCAAAGACAAAATTCTGATTGATATCAACTAGGCTCAAATGACGTGAAAGGATCTTAAGATTACGACAAATAAACTCATCATCAGTTGCCGAAGGCGATCATGAAACCCGGCATCAGATCTTATTCTTGCATGTAATATGAATTCTTGTATCAACGAAGAATTTGAGAATCCATAGAAATACATACATATACATAAGCAAAAAATCTTAACTGAGATGCAGGTCGTTATCTTTCGTCAATATGGGAATCAGTCGTCCGAGATAATGTTAATGCCTCTGCATGATAATATACTTACGAATCTTAGTGACCATGATTATGCAACAGGGCTAATCAACCCAGGTTTCTCTGATTATTTAGCACTGCATATCAAAATAGAAACCACAGAAGGTTGTTCACTAGGTCGGCTGTTACAAAAACTATAAGCTTCCTTTTGTCCCTTGACTGGTACAACTTTTATAGTTCTGAGGACGTCAATTTTATGTCACATTTTTTGTTACACAACATCCACGACTTAATTGAACTAAATTTCCCCCTAAAAAAATGTCAGTTTCAAAAATGGCCTGTAATCTGGTTTTCGCGAGATCTAAAACAACTCAGAAATTGAGTCCAGGCTGCTCAAACTATAAGTTTGGTCTCAGAAACAAACGAGAACATAGACAGATATAAAAACATCCAAATGCATTACAAAAATGAAATAAGAACAACTAAAAAACAAGCTTATAACAAATACATATTAACTTCCGATAATAGCCCCATGGACATATGAAGACTTATTAACTATGAACGGAATTATATAAAAAAAATCCAATAACTCAAACGTCACCGGTGGATGAGTTTAACAATTATTTTTCGACCATTGCTAGTAATATCTTCCTGCTGCTTGATGTTGATACGAACTTTCCAAGTGGTTTAATTAGTCAAATACCCTATAATGAAAGTTCTTTTGCATTTTATTTTGTTACTGAATTAGAGGTAAAAGCATCGATTCTCAGTCTAAGAAACTCTAGTTGCTCTGACGCTTATGAAATCAATGTCAATGTACTAAAAAACCTTATAGATGTTCTGGTAATTCCACTTACCTTCTGCATTCAATATGACATTTTTCCAGATACTTTAAAAATTACTAAAGTTATTCCAATCTTCAAGAGCGATGACATTAGCAATTCTGGAGACTATCGCCACATATCAGTAAGATATTTGAAAGGGTTATAAAACCACAAATAGTTATTTTTTTGAGCAGCAGGATATCATTCGGAATGAGCAGTTTGATTTAGGGAGGGGCCCTCTACCATACAAGCCATAAGTAAGGTTGTGGGTCTTGAGACTGGAAATCGAGTGGAGTTGACAATGTTTGACCTTAGCAAGGCCTTCGACTGTATCTCGCTCGATCTTCTTAAACAGAAGCTGTTTAGGTATGGATTTCGCGGCGGAACCCTTAAGCTATCAGAATCTTATTTATTAGTCAGGGAACACTTTGTGGGCGATGACAGACGTAAATCCTCTTTGGTGAAGGTCTCCAGTGGGGTCCCCCAAGGGTCCGTACTCGGCTCTGTATCTTTTATACTGTATGTTGCTAATCGATGCCGTTTTTTGGGGTCAGTCAAATGTGCTTTATTTGCGGACGATGACAGTTTTACCTTATATGGTCCCAATTGAAATGACCTGCACAACATTATTGGAGAACTGGAGAGCAATGCGAACAATTGGTTTAAAAATAATTATTTGAAATTGAATACGGACTTGGCATTACACTTGATAGTAGACTTGACTGGAAAGATCATATTTTGTCTCTTAAGCGGAAACTATCTTCCAGCTGATTCGTCCTTAGAAAAATTAGGGAGAGCCTCAATCAAAATGCCCTAATGCATTACTGTTCAAGATGGCGGCCGATTTAACAGCTGCCAAGTAATTTATTCTCAGTTTGGTTTTGGCAATTCATCATGAATAGACTCACGCCTGAAGAACGCTTGCAAATAGTGCAATTTTATTTCGAAAATAATGGTTCTATGCGGAATACGTATCGCGCACTACGTCCATTTTATCGTCGACAAAATTGTCCATCAGAGCAGTTAATTCGATTAACCATGGAACGTTTTCGCACCACGTTTACTCTTATTGATAACACGCATCCCCAGAGACGTCGTACGGTGCGTACAGAAGAAGCTATTGCTGCTGTAGAGCGTAGCATTGAGGAAGACCAGAATGGGTTCATTCGCTATCAGGCACAGGAATTGGATCTGTGTCCATCCACTTTATCCAATATTTTGCGGAACGCGTGCAAGAATTGAGACCAAACAATCATCAAGTAAGGCGTAGATTCGCCGAATGGGCCAAAACGATATTGCCGTTTTTCCCGATTTTCATAAGCGAATTTTGTTCAGCGATGAAGCGCACTTCTGGTTGAATGGCTACGTCGACAAACAAAACTGGCCCATTTGAAGCGAAGCTAATCCTCAAGTGTATGTCGAAACACCGTTACATCCAGAAAAACTGACTGTTTGGTGCTCTTTATGGGCTGGTTTAATCATTGGTCCATACTTCTTCAAAAACGATGATGGCCAGAACGTTACAGTCAATGGTGATCGGTATAGAGCTATGATTACTAACTCTTTCATTCCTGAATTGAATAGCCATAATGTCCAGGAAATGTGGTTTCAACAAGACGGCGCAACATGTCACACAGCTCGTGCCACAATCGATTTGTTGAAAGACACGTTTGGGGACCACCTAATTTCACGTTTTGGACCTGTGAATTGGCCTCCAAGATCTTGTGATTTAACATGTTGGAAAAAGTCATCGAAAATTGGACGTCCAGACATCCGCGCCAGCCATGGCGGTCATATGCCAGAAATCATATTTGTAATAAAATGTAATGCCACAAGATTATCTTTCGGATAAATAAAATTCATGTCAATCGAATAATCCA